ATTAGCTCAGTGGTTAGAGCAGGCATCCCATGTGTAAAGGCAATGTCCTGCCGTGGATTCGATTCCAGCCTGTGGCCCTTTACTACATGTCATTCCCTCTTTCATGCTTACATCGGTCCCGTCAAATAAAAGCCAAAAAATAATATTTAAAAAGACATTAAGCACTTCAAGCAAACTTTTGTGCAAACCCTGAGGATGGCACTGTCACAAAACCATAACGCCCACCCTCCGTTTTCCTCCCAGGTTTACAACATTAGCCCTGTCACCACTGTTCATACTGTTATTACCATTAGCTGCTAGCCATCGGCTAAGCCACCTCCATGTTGAGAGCCATATGCAGACAACCTCTGATACAAAAATATGCACTGAATATCACATAGATCTCCTTTAAAAGGTGGCAGTTGCAGTCTATTATAATGTTAAATACAATTATCTGGCTTAAAAGTTGAAGTCCATCCTGTTGCTTAAAAGAATATAAGTGTAAAACAACACAAACCTTGCTGTGTTGTTGTGCACTTGCATGAGAAGTAGTGCAAAAATAAGAATATCACACTGCATCAGTCTACACAGCATGAGGTTGAAAATGCTGACATCTGTAACTGTCTGACAAAGACATCTACACTACTGCCCCTCTTCATATAATCCTCAGATATCACAAACACACACTAGTTTCCCGTATTCTGGTATGGATTTGGTCGACCTAAAGCAACAGTGGCAGCGTTCCTGACAAGCTAGTGATGAGAGGCTGGTAAAGGGGTTTACACCACGTCACCTTTTATCCATCACCTCGCAGGTTGATAGTTACCCAGGGGAGGGGAGAGGCGGGGAGGGGAGAGGAGAGGAGGGGAGAGGAAGACTATTGGGGCATGGCCTACATTCACTTCTCCAGTCCCAGTAGAGGTGGGAGGAGAGAGAGGCGAGACAGTCGGAAAGGAAGATGCGTCAGCAGGATTGACTTGTGGGGATTGGACCTGCTCTGCCTCTCCACTCTATCCATCACTCAGATAATAAGAAGTGAAAAGGAGAGTGGACGAGAGGAGGAGAGAAGTGTATGATGATGGGATTGATGGACAGATGTGTCCCGCAGAGAGTCGGTGCACTGCAGTATTAGGTGACGACAAATGTCACAGGGACGAGTATGGAAGGGCAATGACAGGCCTGAGTAACCTTAGCCTGTCCAATATGTACTTAGCTTTAAAATGGTTCAAGCATTCGCAGGGTCAGCGTGACGTTTTCCATCACAACTGTCACTTCCACTTTTGACAAAAAGTTTTTGGACTTACATGGTCCTGACGCCATTTTAGAGGCTTTTGACACTGTCATGTAACTTTTCGAGCTATCTCAGACGATACTGGTGTTACAGAAAAAGGTCTTATTTTAACCACATAATCTGGAGAAGTGTCTTACACAAAGCATAGTGCAGGAGATGGCTTTCTATTCTCTAGAAAAAGAATAACAGCAGCAGCCTTCTTTGTGGCTCCTTTGGAGGAGAGCAAAAGAAAGAGAAAAGTCCTAGAGAGATCAAAAAGAGCACCAAGATTTAAAGGGTCAGTTCACCCCTAAATCCAAAATGCATATTTTACTTCTTACCTGTAGTGCTATTTATCATCTAGACAGTTTTGGTGTGAGTTGCCAAGTGTTGGAGATATCGGCTGTAGAGATGCTGCCTTCTCTCCAATATAATGGAACTAGACTTCACTCAGCTTGTGGTGCTCAATGCGCCAAAAAATACATTTGGAAAACTCAACAGCATTGTCTGTTTTTACAGAGATCGCACTATAGGGCCACTGAGAAGTCCCTTCTTTATGGTGCCTTTGCATTTTAACACAGAACCAAACAACGGCAGCATCATGCAGCCCAAGTGTGTGATTTCAGATGGCATGCTGGTATTCTGGAGGCAAAAGAGGCATGACGTGTGACACTGCAGCATCGGCCTCTAGTGTGAAATATAACATACAAAGCGGCAGCGCTTTATAAACAATAATAATGGCGCAAGAACAATCAGTCACTGTACCTCTTATATGGCAATATGTCAGCTAATCTTATCCTCTGCTCAAAGGGTGAGGAGCTCCTAGACCTCATGGTCTTCCAAACTTGTGGGCATTTTTGGCTGCTGTTCTCTGAGTTAGCTGCTAACTGCTTCTAGCTGCTTTTCTAGCTGAAATTATCAAAACGTCACACCTGTCCCGTCCATGATTCTGTCCAACTGGCTACCCCTTGGAGCTACCTCCAATACCAGCTTAGGGGCAAGACAACACCGTCCCTCCATCCATGACTGTACATTTAATGAAGAACTTTGTGACGGACTAACAGCGTCACATTCCTGCCTTTAACAGACAGCTTAAAGGAGCTAATGTCTCTTTCCAGAAATCATGACCAAGTTACTCAAGATAATCCATAATTTTAAGCAGTTTCAAGTAGGAACTATTTTCTTTCACCGAACAACCGGCCAACCGAATCACCGCGCATGAGGAAGTTTGCATCTACACATGGATGAGAGGCTTGTGCTTGGTACAGCAGGGGATGGAAACATTAATGGCATCCTCCTCAAGTGAGCTGTAATGTCAGCTAGCAGTAGATGCACGTTTCCGTCTGCTCAGTGATACGGGTGGCAGGTGTAGTTCGGTAGAAGGAAAATAGTTCCTGTATGAAACTGCTTGCAGCAAGGTCTATGGATTATCTTGAGTGATCAGGTCGTGATTTCTGGAGAGAGACAGTAGCTCCAACCGTCCCCCCATTCTGTAACTGTACCTTTTATAAAGAACAGCCAGGTGGAATAATAGCGTGACATTCCTGCATTTAGCAGGACACTTAAAAGAAGCTAATGTCTCCTTAGAGAAATCATGACCTTGTTACTCAAGATAATCCACAGACCTTGTTGTGGGCAGTTTCATGCAGGAACTATTTTCTTTCTACATAACTACACCTGCCACCTCACCGAGTTGAAGGAAACATGGATTTAATGCTAGCTGACATTACAGCTCACCCGAGGAGGACGCCATTAATGTTTTCATCACGTACTGTACCAAGCACGAGCCTTTCATCCATGAGTAGATGGCACACTTCCTTCTGCACAGTGATACGGTTGGCGGGTTGTTTGGTAGACAGAAAATAGCTCTCCTCGTCCTTGCTCGGCTGAGCTTTAATATTAGTTAGCTCAGTGGTGCTAGGTGAGCTAGCAGTAAATTCAAACTTTCTTCTGATTAGTTTGGAGGAAAGAAAGTAGTTCCTACATGAAACTGCTCACAACAAAGTCTGTGGATTATCTTGAGTAACCGGGTCATGATTTCTAGAAAGAGACATTGCTGTTGAGTTTTTCAAATGCATTTTTTTGGCGCTTTGAGCACCACAAGCCGAGTGCCGTCTTGTTCCATTATATCTGAGAGAAGGCAGACATCTCTATGGCTGATATCTCCAACACCCTGCAACTCACACCAGAATACTCTATAATGATAGATAGCACTTCGGGAAAGGGGACACATGTATTTTTTTTATGGTGGAGTGTCCCTTTAAGTGAGGGCATCAGCCTTGCGATACCGTAGCAGTAAAAAGAAAAAAAAATGCACAAGGATACCGGCGAGAGAGGACAGGCATAGTCCCAGGGATCTTGATAATTCACTGACTGTCACTTCTCATGTCTTTTCATCCTTCTTCCCCTAAGTCTCGCCATACCTCTCCACACAAACTCACACTTTCAATTTCTCCCTCAGCCCCCTACCTTTCTTTCTGCCTCTTTCATACACCCTCCGGAGCTCACCACCAAATGTTCCTTCACTCTCCCCCTCCCACCACTGCCCACATCCAACCCTCTTTTATTGAGGGGGTTCAGAGATCTGAGAGCAGCTCACACAGATAATATAAATGTTTTATCCTTTCTCTAGCCTCTTCCTTCTGACTCAGGAAAAAATATACATACACATAGTTTCTTTTTGGCACCATCTTTATGGCGTGTGCAGTTTATCAAATTCATTCTGTAAGCAGATTTCCAAAGCAACACCTTTTATGTAACCCTCTGGCTAGCCATGAATTTTTCAGGGTCTTAAAAGTTCATGGTCTGGAGGGAGCAAACACAGACAAAAGACAAACTTTAGGAGGTATTAAACTTTTTTTTTTTTTCATTCCTCAAGAAAAATATATCAACTGAAGGGAAGGGTGGGATGCAAGTCATCATCAAAACACACACAGAGGGGAACAGATTTAAAACTGATGTTTTGAGGCCACAGTTGCTTTACTATGTTAAAGCCACAACTTGGACGGTATAATATGTCAGCTCATAGTTAAACTGTATCACCAAAATGTATCAAAGAGTCCATCTCGCTTGATTTGGACTAATGTGTGCTGACAACCTGGAGCGAGTGCACTCCTGTGTACTTGATATTAAGGACACTTCTCTTCCCTTGAGATTCGGGCCAATAACCTCCAAAGCTAATATCTCCAGTTCTTGGCTTTTGGGGGTCGTTCTGTGCTGCTGCTACAGCATACGCCAGCGATTTGGCCCTAATTTGACTGGGGAGTGCTTCAAGGTTGCTGTTAAGCATTCCTCCTAGTACCTTAAGTGAAGGGATTTTTTTTTTTTTTTTTTTATTCAGTGGTGGGGTTGCAAATGTGAAAATAAGAGGTGTCAGGAGGATATAATTCGTTAGAAGCCTCAAAGTGGCTCTGCTTCTGCTGCAGTGCTGGGAGAAAATTGGAAATGCCGCAGTAGACATCGAGTGGTGGGAGCGGGGGAAACAAGCGGCCTCCCCTCAGCACTGCAGCCAAGTCTTTTTTCGTGCTGGGTAACGTCTGCTTGTCACGCTGAAAGTTTTATACCGTCCTGCTTTTTCTCTGTACTTCAAAGATGTGAGGACTTTCAGTGGAAGCAAGATGATTCAAATTGAAAGACATTAATGTTAGCTGGACGAAGAGAAAGTGCCAATTAGAGGCGACACCTTCACTGACGGGACACAGCTTGTTAAAAAAAAAAAAAAAGAAAAGAAAAAGCCACTTCAGGACCTCACCTTGGCCACAAATTGCCTGTCCTTCTGGTCCAAGTTGGCTGTGGGTGCCACGTAGTCCTTCCAGATGCGGACCTTGCGCTCTTTAGCAGATCTGGCCAAAGGGAAAAAAAAAATCACATAATTATCATCAGTGGTAGTCCTCGACCATCAGCCAGAAATACATGGGACATAAAGGGCTTAATCAAGTGAATAACAATTATCCATTTGGCTGGAAAAAGCTACAAAAGCTCATTAAAGTGCAAAAATTCCAGCATGATTAGCCCATAGTCATTGCTGCCATGATTATAGGGAATGAATATCATTGCTGCAGAATAGACTGGAACTGTTCATCTCAAGTAGTGGTGGCATACATTAGCATACCATCTCATTTGCACAATTAATTACACACATCAATTATACAATTATTCTGCATGTGCTTTCTTTATTAATGTTTTCTATCACATCAGTAATTTCCAGAACCAGAGATATTGTAAATTCCTATACTTTTCTCTGTCAGCTGAGCAAGAGTTGAATTTAATAATGTTGAATAAAATGCTTAATTTGCTTATAAGAAATCTGCATGGGGATTTTAAGTAATTTCTAAATGTGAGTACTCGACAAAAAAAATAAAAAAATAAAGGTAACATAAGAAGGGTCAGACATGAACACCAAAGCAAAAATACAGGTTAGCTATGATACACAAGTTTAATGTTAAATATTTTGCACTGGACATTCACTTCAATTATTTTGTTAAAATACTTTCAAATATCACTCTTATTCCCAGTCGCCATTCTGCCTAGAGCATTAGATCGAGTGATGTCGGACTGAAAATGCTGAAGGTTCTCTGTGACTGTGGACATCTATCAATTCTGCTACCGAGATCTGTGCAGATATTCACATCCGAATGTCAACTTTTACTATTGAACAGTGTCAATCCATGTTTATATTTAGAGTTGTCCTGATCCGAGCTCAAAGATCAGCTGGTATTTTATCTCCTGCAGCCTTAATGCACAGCAACGTAAAGAGTGTAGCAGCTGTAGTCAATTCTTCATCTCTCCTGCATTCTGCTGAGCTCCCCTGTGAGCACAGCAAAACACCACATGCCATAAACGACAGCAAAATTCAGTATGAGTCTGTTTATTTATTTATCATCTACCGAAGTTACGAGGACTCGTTTCATTTCAGCTCAGTGTGAGTCTCTTGTGTGTTGCTGTAAGTATGGTGCATGGTGTTTCACCGCCATACACAGACGAAAGACAGACAGCGGTGCAGAACGTACGACAACCACAGTCAGCACGCAACTGCAAGTGCAAGAAAAGCCTCTCAAGCAAAAAGCCAGTAAAAGTAACATATTAATGTAGAGATGAATTCCGTCTAGACAGCGACAAGACCAAAGAGTTTACAGACAGGGTTTGTTATTAAAATATTAAAAAAGAAATTAAGGAACAGCGTGGATGCAGGGATTTTTTTTTCTGAATGTATTGCAGATACTCAAATGTCAAGCACAGGCTATACATCGGATTATTTTAATCATTTGAATGTACTTGAAGTGTGCACTGTTCAGCTTTATCATCTCGGAAAATAGTATTGAATCTGGAGTCAGTATCAGCAGAGAACATCCTATTTAATAAACAAAAGGTTACAAACAAACTCAGACGGCAGGCGACAGCGGGATGAATATGCAACACACTTCCACGTGGTAACTGATACAATGACTGTGTGAATATATGCATATGGAGGTAGCACTACCAAATGTGCAATCTTGGCCATGCTACAGAAACAGAGAGGGAAAGAGTTCTGATTTCTGTGTGTCAGCTGCATACCGTTCAGCAGCTCTGAGTTTCTCGGCTCCCTGGGTGTACACAGCCATGGACCAGTCGACACAGCGGGCGAAGCCTTCCTTCAGTAGGAGCTCTGTGATGTTACCATTCTGACACAAAGAACAATTCATGATGAGACAGAGAGCTTGAATTTAAATGACACTTCCACCACTGGATGCTGACTCCTGTGTCTTACCGGGTGAAGGATGGTGCCCAGGATGATCTGGTTGGGGCAGCTCTCCAGGATGATCTGAACATCTCTCTGCAGAAGACGGGACTCAGTGAAGAATTTGGCCTCTGCTGCGAATGGCTCTGGTGTCTCTGTTCCATCCGCTTCCCTCTTGAATGTTGGACACTGGTGAGGAGGAAAACTCAAATTAATACGTGGTCTTGCAAGCAATGGGAAACGTCTTAAAATGTTTCCGCACACATTTTGTGCACTTAAATTCCCAGCAGTCAACCAGTGCCTCGAGGAGGTTTTTTGAGCACACAGTCTTTTGATATCATCTGTTTTCTCTGTGTACTACTGTTATCCACTTTTAACCGATGTCACCTTGCTGTACATGCTATCTGTATTCTCTCCTTTGAGCGTGGCAAAACACCAGACGGATATAAACACAACAGACGCAATGAGCAGCCGAGCCTTTGAACAACGAGACAAAGAACACCTTGAAATGGATGTAATATCTCCAAGTGGGAGATGAAAAAGATTAGTTATCTTGAGTGGCCCATTGGCAAATCTGGGCTTGGTGAAAGAGACTGATGGGGAAATTTAGGGAAGCGGATATGACACTGGTGAAACAAACACAGACTCAGAAGAGAGGCAAAGATGAGTCACTACTCAGGTCTTTTTTTTTTTTCATATATTCCTAATAAGACTGCACTGTCAACTTGAAAATATAAATAAAGTGAAGTGAGACAGGGATGTGGAGAAAACTGTCAAACCACAGACATTTTATTTACTGTAGTCCCCCAACAAAAACAACTGGAACGTCATTACAGAGACTTCCTAAGCAGGGTTGCAAAGGCGTGAGATTTTCTCGATATGATAACCAGAAAAAAACAGTCTCACAGTATTATACAATTCTTATCATTATTAATATCAGTCACAAAAACTCTTTAAGATAGGGAAACAGTTTTTGATTTAACAAATGATAATTGAAACCATTTTTTTTTAATAGAAATATGAGTAAATGTCGAGGAGGAGAGGAGAAGCGCATGCGCAGGTGAGATTCTCCATCCGCTTGCTTTTGTTTTTCCACAGATACACAAATGTACACGGTATGTTAACTGTCAATTTTCAACCCTTTTCTTAGGTCTAAAATATATCTCAGTTTAGGATGACATTTAAGACATTTGGTATTACTGCAACATCTTTCCTAATTGCATTTCGGAAGAAGGAATCCTATCTTATCTTAGGATACAAATTTTGCCATTGAAGATCCGTCCCAACTTGGAGATTCCCGAGATGAGGGATACGTTAGGATGGCATTAACCCTGTCCTACAGTCAAAGTAACAGCCACAATGGCAGCAGAACGAATACAGGCAACAACATGAACACTGAAATATTATGACTGAAAGTAATTTTTATGTAATGAGACATTAGTGGTGGTTACCTTCACTCCAGACAGCATGACGGTGACCAGGTAGTGATCGGGGAGCAGCAAGGCACGAACAACACTGCCGTCACGCACATGCTCAATGATGGCTGAAGGGGAGGAAGAAGAACAGAGTCTTAGTGTTTGGGGGAGAGGAGACTGTGTCAAGTTAGGATGACCATACAGACATCAAGCTCATGGTTAGACTTGCTTATTTATGGCCTTGACAGAGATTAAACTACCTTACAGGTGCTATATTTTGTGCTGCAGGGTGGGGACTGAGTGATTACATTGACACGCACATACCTACTTTGAAACATTGTAAAGGACTGGACATCAACAGGTTTTGTCCACTTGTCACAGACTAGACTGAACACTGAACTTTTCTGTCTGCCACTGTTTGAAAACACTGAAAAAAATCCTATTTGACACAAAGAAGCATAACTGTACAAGCGGCTCCAGCCGTTCTGCTTTCAATATTTTAATGTGATAAACAACAAGTTAGGGCACCTCAATGGGAGTTTGCATGGCTGCATGTAGACAGGAAGCTAGATACTAATCACTGTCAAATAATTAAAATACATAAACGGTAGATTGATCACACAGGAAGGTTAGAATAAGGAGGTGAGTCTGTGGTTGCCTGGCACCGATAAAAAGGCAACCTGCAAAACGCTTTCTGTGTGATCAAAGCCTGATTCAGCACCATGGGGGGAAACAAACATCTGATACTTTAAGGAAAGCTGCCCCAAGGCTGGTCGGGCATACCAATTAAAATCAGAATTTATTCTAATTTTCTTCATCCTGGTACAACTGTCATAGCAAGTATTCTCTTTTCAACAATGCCCTGCATGACACTCATTGAACTCCAAACGTTAACACCTGTGATCTGTCGAAAAACAACAGTGTTTAAAGGATCTCTCTCTCTGGTCCTTCTCACAGAGGAGAGAGTCATGGCCTCCTTGGCAGACTGTGTACACTTAAAGTGATGTTCCAACCAAGATCTTTATCAAACACTCACCACCGTGGGTTTTAAAGGTGGGAGGGAAAAGGTTTGTAGGTTCCTTCCTCACAACATCAAAAGGCCGTGGTCAGTCTGAATGAATTCACATGACCGCCGCCTGTGTGTTTTTTAAACTATTTCTATTTCTGGATGTTTTTCAGAAGCGGGCTGAAGCCATTGCTCTCTGGCAGGAGGGAATCTACATGTTTATATCGCTTGTTTTTACCGCTACCTTTCATGCCTACAGTGGCGAGTACTTGATAGGAAGAGAGACAGACTTGGGGAGTATCATTTTAAGGGTTTTATTTATGCCATACACAACATATCAAGGCTTGAGGCACAGGCAATTTATTTGAAAAGCTTTTGAGGTATTACATTGTATTTCTCTCCAAATCATATCACTCAACTGTTGCTCCTGACCTCTAAAGTACTTTAAGAAATTGGACAGGATGTGAGTCACTTGTGTGAAAGGCATTTCACGCCTAAACGGCATTTTGATAATGGTTCTCCCAGTCTCTATACGCCTTCCTTCTGTGCATACCTCGTGTGCGTCTATACGTGCATGTGCGAGTGTGTCTGTATAAGCAGATGAGAGAGAAATTGGTATTCTGGTTTTCAACCACAGCAACTCGACGCACATTTAAAGAGCTTCAGCTGGATCGCTTCCTCCAATTTCCCAACAACCCTGACCGTCTCTCATGGATGGCGAGAACAAGAAATAAAAGAATGAAAAAGCCGTCCCCTGTTCATTTCCCCATTCAATTAAAGGGTAGTGAAATGAGCTGAGCCGCTGTTAATGGCAGTTGCCTGGAAATGAATCGAGTGGCACATTATACCTTGGGTAGGGTCAGAGATGAGAGGCTGGAGGAATGAGCCGGTGAGGGGTGATACAATGTGTGCCATTACATGCCCTGAAGTGGATATTTAGAAGAGAATATCTTCAACCAGCCTGCAAATGTGGCTTTTATGGGAAAATAGAGGCTTATGTAATATTGTGCGCTTTTATATGCCATGTGTCTTTGTTTCTTCGGCCAAGCTTTCTCAGAGTGAGTGTTGTCGGTGCGGGTGTTTGAGAGACCCTCTAAAACTCATTACCGTTGATAGGCTTCTGGTGCAAGGAGTCAACAAAGTTGCGGGGATTCTCTATGGTGTACTTGATGTCGCGGATGGTGTGTGTGCCGCCGCCCTCGCTCCACTGGCCCTTCTTGGAAGCCTTGGACTGGTCCTCCAATTCACAGAGTCTGGCCTGGTCTGGACTGATGACAAACACACAAGAGAAAGTTTAAGACACAATGAAAAGAACACCCACAAAACGCGTTTCAAACTCTGGAAGTGATAAAATCATTATGTTGCTCTCTGTGTGTGTAGTTAGCTGTTAAGTCTTAATCAACAGGATTGTTTGACTTTAATTCATCTGATGTTTTCACCATTTTTCAACTAATGAATCCAAAAAAGTTGGCACAAACTTTCTCCTTTAGTAGATCTTGCATGAAGCCACAGCGTGAAGGCTGAACACCTTAAGATGGACAGTTCAGTTCATCTGATTTAATATCAACAGGCTGGAAGTTTAAAAATGAGTTTTACTGCGTATAAAAACAAAATAAAATCTTCAAAGCAACTCACTTCAAGGATTTTGTTAAAGGGATGCTTCAGTATTTTTTACCCTGGACTCTATTTTCTCATGTTTTCGTGATTAAGTGTCTAATGGGAACAACCGTTTTTGAAAACTGGTCCAGTATTGTGAGAGACTGTTGCAGATGTAGCGGCAGAACAGGCTGCATAGTAATCTCTACAGGCAATAGCGCACCGACAATTCAAATCAACTGAAAGTGCCTGTTTTTGCCACTGACAGGCTCAGATTGTCATTATAAACGACCCTACAGAGAAATAAAACGTTTTTCTTTACCTTTCGCTGATCCAGGTTGTTTGTTAGTGTGTGTAACCACGTCTCACTCAAAGAGAGGTCTCATTATGACTTTCCTACATTGTCGAAACCAGCTAAATATTCAGCAATGACACTGTTCTGTACTCCAACACAAAAAATCTTCACAGCACTCCTCTCTCCAACTCTCACTAACGTTTCCACCATTCTTTTTCCTGCAACGAATCACCTCTCACGAGATTTCAGAAAGAGATTTCCCCTTTAGCGAGACTTAAAAATAGACAATACAAACAGAAATAGACCAGCGAATGGTGAAGGAAAACATTTCATTTCGCTGTACGATCCTTTCTGTAAAGTTGTCCAACTAACTAAAAATAATCTGAGCCTGTCAGTGGTCGCCTAGTAAGACCATCCTAAGGATGTGAGCTCAACATTCTGTATCAGACTGGACTCGGTGCCACCAACACACTTTCCAGGAATTAAATCCAATCAGGGCCAATCAGAGATCCACACCGAAGCTTAATTCTACTGGCTCCGTTGGTGATGAAGAAGATGTTCCCCAGTGTTATGGTAGGCTGATTGGCTAAAGGAGTCAGTCAGTCAAGGGGAGTACTCCCACCCACTGAAAGTATTTTGGGCGGCATCAAGTCCAGACTGATACAGGCAGTGAAACAGAATGTTGGATGGTCTTACCAGGCTTCGTCAGTGGCCAACACAAGAACTTTAAATGGACAAACCGTAAACTGACAGTGTTCAGTTGCCCATAGGGATTACACTGCAGCCTGCCTCTCTCAGTATGGACACATTTCAAAGGTACTGTCTACATAAAACACAAGAGGATTAAAAAAATAACGCATCATAAAATGTCATCTAGTAAAAGGTAAAATAAGGAAGGCCGAAGCTAAAATCAAGATAATAAATGGGTATTAAAATCAATGAGATAGCATTAACAGACAGCTCAGATAAAGTCAGGATATGCTTTCCGATAGATGTTTTTAGGAGAGACTTAAACGAAGCCAGTGACTCAGACAGCCTTATACCCTCAGGCAGGTCGTTCCCGAGCCTCGGGGCCCTGATTGCAAAAGCTCTGACCCCTTTGGTCCTCAGCCTGGACTTTGGGACAAGCAGAAGACCTCTGCCCGAGTTTCTCAAACTACACAGAGGTTCATAAGGGCAGAACAGGTCTAAAATGTAAACTGGAGCCAGGCCATAAGATTTTAAAGTCAATCCTAAAAACAAACAGCCAATGTGAAGAGGTTAAAACTGGCGTGATGTGGTACACTCGTCACTTAGACACAAAAACATGTGAAAAAAGGGTCCAGGTTAAAAAATACCAAAGTTTCCCTTGAAGGAGAATGAAACCTGGTCTGCTACTGAAACCTGCAGCTGAATAAAGCTGAAACTGAGACTTCCACAGATGGCTTCTTTCAAGCTTTGAAAAAACAAAAACGCTGTAAAACACTGCTGCTCTAGTAGCTCCAGTTAAAATATTGCTATTAACTAGGTGACAAACACATCTAAAAAAAGATCAGAGGGTCTTTGAGTGCTGTAAAACCCCTCTGAAATATATAGCTCCACTTGTTAATTTCACACCAGTCGGAAACGGATAGCCGGCACAGCTAACGAGCAGAAAGTTTTGATTGTAGTCGCACCCCTTGTTAACTTTAACATGTCCTAATTGCTCTGATCCAGGCTGTGTTAAAACACGGGCTTGTCCCAACAGGCAAATATTAGTAATACAGCAACAATTAAGTTGTACCCGGCACACCTTTAACTTCTATCAGGTTGGCTTTGTTACAATTCATCAAGCTGTACAGTTGTTGCTTTTCAGTGCGGCAGATCTGTCATCCGCTGTTAGCGTCTACATGTACTACAAGTGCTCATTAAAAGAACAGGACTGCGTGTGTATGGGTGTGGCGAGGCTGCGGCTATGTCGAATTAAGTGCGGTCCCTGACAAACTGCACTGTTTCAGTGGCAACCAGCTGATGACCAGATTATAACAGCTTAAAAAAAAAAAAACGTATCCGAGCATTTTGTGAAGAGACAATAACAGTGTTTGACAGCTCCTTCAAACGCTACCACGCAGCTGGCTACAAACGCCACAATTAATTCCATGCTGGCTCTCCAAATTGTGCAGCCTAATGCTTTCTGAGGGCCCTTGTACAACTTTAATTATTCATTACTTCAAATGGCCAACAGGCTTTTGTTTTTCCTAGAAGCAAAGGCTGTCCGATTGATATGGGAGTAGTGAATGTGACTGAAGCTTTTAAAAAAAGAAAAAAAAAAATTGAGCAGTGCGCAAACTCAGTGTTTCACATCTTGCTGCCTGAAAGACACTGTCTGCTTTCGAGAGGCAACAAAGTGGGTCTCAATTAAAATGCCACACACATCAACACGTATGTAGCCTGTTCTCCAGCTGCGTGCTCCTAATTGGGCTTTTGGACTCCTGCCCAAAAGCCGTCTACTTCTCTTTACACTGATTTCGCTGCTAAACTTCAAATTGAATCGAAGCAGTTTCTTGCTTACTGGGCAACAACGGCAAAACTTTCTGTAAGAAGTCGATTGCGTCTAAGCTACTTAGACTTTAAGCAGAAACAGAGAGCTGCAAAGATAGTGCAAAGGAAACTAATGCAATCAAGGGAGGCAGACATTTGGAATAAATGGAAAGCAACTCTCAAGCAGAGACTGGTTAGGATATAGAAATAACTTTATGTGTGGAGGCAGATGATAGTGAACTTATCCGCGTCTCCGAAATAGGCCGGTTTCTTTTTAGGTCAGCAACTCCTTCCAGCCAACACATTGCTTGATATCAAAACGGATATTGATGGATAAGAAAGTGCAACGCTGAGAGAGGCTACTGGAGGAACAAGGGCCAAGACAAAAAAAAAAAAAAGATTCAATTCCCTTATATTTGAACACACTGTAGGCTACATCTTTCATTTCCATGTGGCTCCCTTGTGCAACCAAAAATACTTTAAAACAGATATAAAATGTTGAACCTCAGCAAGCCGTTTATACACCTCCCTGTTGTCTTTGTGCAGTTTGAAGACGGTGTAGGAAGTCATGTTCCCCAGTGTGCCTGACTGGAGGGGTTCCACTCCTATTGAGCAGCAAGGCCCAAATGAGCACAGTTTAACCCCCCCCCCAGACGTTCACATCCCTCAACCGGCGCTCCTCTGGGGCTCCGGTTAAAAAAGAAGTAATGGGGGATTATAAAGCACAGTTGCTCCCTTCTGCTCTGATGGGTGGGCGTTATATATAAACCAATCAGTCAAACCCCCCCTTCTGTGCCTGTGGTTTTAAATTTTTCAACAGGAAAGTGTGTTGCGATGGGATCTGACCAATTTCCAGCCACCTCGGTGTATGGATGAAGCATTTCTTTAAGAGAAAAGCTGTCCGACTGAGACGTGAGTTGAGGAGATTGATGAACATGTCCGCACCAATCACCGTATGGCTCGGCACCAAGGACGGCTTTTCTTTATGTCACATCAAGTGAGAGTGAAACTCAGTCAAATGATGACGCCTCAAACAGCAAACCCCCCAAAAAACTCATCTGTGTGATTTGAATAAATATAAATCTGTCTGACACTGACAGCTGCAATATGTAGCAAGAAGCTAAAGCTGACAGAAAAAAATACATATCTCATGATATATTAATGGAAAACTTTAAACTTGGAGACTGGGATATTTTTATGTTGCACAAATCAGCAAGATTTAAGACTGCGAGTAATGAATTATATCTCTGTAGATAAAAAAAAGTCAGGGCTGTGACTTTGTAGGGCAAAAAAAGCTCCATACAGTGTGACTAATAAGTAGAAGGAAAAGCATGTGGTAGTACAAATGTTTAAGGAGAAAGTTTTGCTGGAAGAATCTAACATCATCCTTCATAACACCCTAGACTTAACCACTAAACAACCATGCTGGAGGTTTAGTGATGAGCTGGGAGTTGCACTGAAACAAAGCCTTTCTGGGATAGTGTAACGGCAACCATGGAGGACATTATGAGACGTGCCATTACAAACAACAGTATTGTGATGTCGTTAACACTGAGGAGTACCAGACCCCAAAAAAGCTATAGCAAGACATTGGTGTAAAGCTGATCCTTCAGTGACTATGTTTACATGCACCTTAATATTCAACTATCATTCAGAAAATGACAATAATCTGAATTTAATATGGGCCGTATAAATGGCATATTCCGTTTTCCTAGATTTCCGATTAAGGCGTGGAATATGTTGGTATTATTCAGGTTTTATTTGCATTCTTTGGACATATATACAGTGCAAGCAGAATACGCAGTTCTATTTGGGCTTTTGCCGCCGTTTCCAACACACAGCCTCCTGCCTGTTTACAGCTCTGTGAGTTGCCTTGTACACAAACCAACTAGCTCGGGCTGGGCGATATGTCCTGAAAGTATATCACAATATTTTTAGGCTATATCTTGATACACGATATATATCTTGATATTTTTAGATCTTGCATTAGCACTTCAATTTTTAATTAATAATCATCAATAATGTGGACATAATGACTAAGTGGGGTAATGGGAAGCATTAAAACAAATATAGAAGTATGGTAAGCTGACCCATTTACATAAATTTGCTGTAATTCAGCCTTTAAAATGAGGGGAAAGCATCAATTATCATGACACAATATCAAAAATCTGCAACCATATATAGTGTCATACCTCAATATCAATATAATCTCTTCATATTGCCCAGCCTTACAACTAACAAACTGTGTTCAAAGCTGTGTGGTAGAGATGCATGCCCCAAAAAAACTCACATTTCTGGTCAGGAGGAGACACACACCTACTTTTAAACATCATAAAAGACAAATATATCAACAGGTTGTGGGATATGTGCACATATCGCAATGCTGACCTTTTCAAGAAGGTGGTTAAAGATATGAAAGACGGGGGCTTTGTTCACACAGCTAAAAACGTTAATGCAAAGAAGCAAGATGGCACAAGCAGCTCCAGCTGTTTCAATTTTCCATATTTTAGCATGATAAATGACATGTTAGGGCACGATAATCAGAGTATCTATGGCTGCATGTTAATGGGAATATTAGTGAAACATGCATTTTCATTAGCCATATAAACAGCTTAGTCTAAATATTGTCTTTCTCAGAGTAAGGGCAAAACCGGTCATATTTTGTGCATGGAAACGTAGTCACTGAAATAACAATGGCGTCATATTGTTCGGGAGTTTTAGTGAAATGGGTGGGGCAGTTTCTATTTAAGCTTAAAGGGACAGTTCGACATTTTGGCAAATTCGCCTATTGCCGTAATCCCTATAGTCATATGAGTAGGTATATTACCTTTAATTGTCAGTGCGTGCTGTTCTGAGATCAGTGGGGCAGAGCTGCCTGCTGAAATGGAGGTGAACAGTACAGGTCTCTCTCTCCCTCAAAACTAATCAAATACACCATCAAATGACTCCAACGCAAAATGTGGACAACTTGTAGCTTACACATTCACCACGCTATGAAATAATAATGTAATATTACGAGACAGAGTTGTTTTGAAGCCAAATGCAGAACCGGAACTACATTCCAGACATACAGCACTTGCTGGGCGGAGTGATTTCAAACAGCATATGTTTAGTGCAGTTACTCCCGTCATCAAAACAACAAGTTTGTTGAGAAGAAGCCAGAACGTACAGAGGAAGAGTTACAGGTTTTGGAAGAAAAGAGAGCAAGAAGAGAGGCTGAGGCTGCCGAGCAACCAGGGGCTGAGGGGAGACCCAGAGCTGGTGGTGTAAATGTGGGGCTTACTGGCCACTTTATTAGGTACACCTGTGCAATATAAATATAGAGTACGCCTCAAAATAATCACCGGAACACGGGGAGAACATGCTAACTCCACACTCATAAATCACCACAACTCCTGAAGGAACAACAACATAAAATGTTCCCTAGCAGTCCCTTATTTACCATGCTTGGGTTGTAGGCTAATGTTACTCAACATGGAGGTAACATTACAGCAGAGGGATTGGTGAACAAAACACACAATGATCACTTACCACGTCTGCTCGTTTTGTGATGCCGACAGATGGTGTGACAGTATCTTTCAAGAAAAGCTTTTGAACCATTCCTGAGCTTCTGCGCTCCATCCTTTCACTGTAGTCCTCCGGTAAAAAATGGCAGGAGCACACAAACATTTTCTGGACCATTTCCACAGGCGTGTTGGGGTCAATGTCCAGCACAAATAGCCATTGTTTCATCCTGTCCGTATTACTGGTTGGAACTACGTGAAACTTCACTTTGCTCCATGTCTTCAGCTTGTTACCGCAACCTTTTACAATACATGTGTAAACCATGATTTACAAAAACACTTGTAAACTTTCCTCAAACCTTCTGCTGCGTCCAGCTGACGATACCGCAAATGGCTACAAGCGATAACAACGGCACTGTCTCAGCTGCGCACTGTGTCACTCCGCCCAGTGGTTTACTCAAGAAAGTAGTTCTGAGTATTTGCTTCATGTGTCGTAATGTTACTTAATTATACATTATTATTTCATAGCGTGGGGAATGCGCAAGCCATGTGTTGTCCACAAGAGCGTTTTGGAGTCATTTGATGGTGTATTTGATTAGTTTTGAGGGAGAGAGAGACCTGTACCGTTCATCTCCATTTCAGCGGGCAGCTCTGTCCCACCGATCTCAGAACAGCACGCACTGACAATTAAAGGTAATGTACCTACTCATATGACTATAGGGATCACGGCAATAGGCGAATTTGCCAAAATGTTGAAAACAATGGTGTTGAACACTCGTGATGAAGGCCCAGTAGGACAGAAACATCAGTGTTATTAATAAATTGTGAAGCTGAGCAAGAGCAGTGTGCAGGGTTTGCTGTTCAAAGGCTGGTTCCAGAACTGAAAATCCCTTAAGAGCAAATTCGCAATACTGTAGCCAATTTGCATGAACACAAACACACAATAAAAAGTACTACAAAAAAATAGTACTGAGGTATCTGTGTAGAAAATTTAGTCGGACTGTTCTGTTTCAGTGCGGCACTTTAAGGCGAATTAATTTGCTCCAAACTAGTTAAGTACCAAGAAAATAAAATAGTATTTGTGCGCAAAAAAGCTGTTAATTGAGTTCAGAACCTGTTTCATTACTTCAAACATATTTAAAAACTGAACACATAAATGGACAGAAAAGAGCATTCAATCCAACTTTTCCTCCGTCTGTTATGTGTGCGTTCACTCTTGCTCCAATAAACCAACGACAAGCCCCAAACAACTGTGCTCCTGCCTGCTGTGCACTGCTGAGCGCTCGCCCCAGCCCTTATATTTGTGAATTGGCTGACCGTTTAACGCAACGCGTTTAACTGCGGTGTCCGAAGCCATCAGCGTCATAATCACCCCCATAATTACGACTACATCATAGTTAGTGTGATCAACGTAGCCAGTCACGAGGGGTAATGATACTGGAGGACGGGGCACTGAGGGAAAAACTAAAGGCCTTAAGTCCTCGCTGAGTAATGGGCCTCCCCTTCGGCCAAATGATGCCCGCTTACACTTAAAGCATCATTTACATTAGCGCCTGTTCTGGGCCATTGCACAGAATGCTTGGGAATGGGTCATTAGTGGCAGAATATTCACATCATCTCTGTTCATGTTGGAGGATACAAATGTAGCAGCATGAGTCAAATTGCTTGTAATGTGTGTAATGTGCAAATACTTCCACTGGGGGGGATATACAGTGCTTTGTCATATAGCACTGGGTGTGTGAGTGTATTTAGGGGATTACTGTGTCAGGGCAATGTGGCAGAAAAGAGTTTCAGAGGGACAGCACTGAAGCAGCAGGGTAATACTGCCACCATCTGGGACGCCATGGCTCAATCTCAATTCTCTACAGCCTGCTAGTTGAGGACTTTATGCACATCTCCCCACAGATTTGCCAGTGCTGTGCTGCAATACCAAGATTACATCATGTTGCCAAGAATGATTTCCTTCTCGTTCTGTGAAGGGGAGAGTTGCAAAATAAAACCAGCTTTGAGATCCAAAAGCTTTTTGAAAGGGAGAGCACATCAGTCTCTTGTATGATGACACCCTCGAGGTCAGGTATGCCATCGTAGCCGAATATGGCGTCATACCACAGAATGGGACATTTAACAATTAGATGCCACAAAGAGAGACTGACATTTGGTACAGTCACAGAGTGCACAGAATACTGAATTAATACCTTAATGGGCCAAAATTCATCTAAGGGAATGTACTTCATTTGCTGGGGTGTGCCTTTGTTCGTTTTTTGATGATATGACACCCTCCAGAGCGACACATATTTGTCCCTGAGCCTCCCTAAGTGTCTGGGGGAAAATGCAAGACCCTCCCTTCACCATAAATAACCATATTTTGCACTTTCTGGCTATGATAAATGGTGTGATTTTGGAGCTTTGTAAAGAAAACATGCCTTTAAACCCACTTCCTGGTTTGGGGGTTCTAAATTTGGTACAAAATATGACCGTTAAAAGTTAATTTTCACTCCCCTAAGCCAAATTTATAATAAAACAACTCCCTCCCTAATGTTTAAAAAATTATTTGAAGTGCCTCCCTCATTGTGCAACACCCCCTGCCCTCATATAAGTAACGAACAGTCCCTAAATGCAACCAAACCTTCCACATTTCATGCTAATGCTAAGTGTTCTACTAAGTGTCGTATGCCTGACAAACCAGTATTAAGCCCTTGAAACTGTACGTGTGTCATGCCATTCAGCCTGCAAATGAATCATCCATGTCAGCAAACAGTACAACATACACCACAGGTTAGCACAGAGGCAAAACTCTTACTTGTTCCCCCTGATTCCTTCCCTGCGCACTGTGGCGAGGCCCTCGCTCACCAGAGATTCAGCAATGTTCTCGCCTGCTGTGTCTAAAATGAGACGACAGAGAGGAAAGAAAAGAAAACCTATCAGACACTTCTGAAAGAGGAGAAGTCTTTTTTTTTTAATTTGTCTTTTTAAGAGCGGCATGATTAAAATTACACAGCCGTTTGCTCCAGTCGGGTAATCTGATTGGACAAGAGGCAATCATGAGCGCTGACATTTAGGATAAGAGGGACATTTACGTATACAAAATCATGTTTTTCGCAGGTGTGCTGATTTAACGCTTGATTACAAACTATTCTCAGTTAAAACGTACTTGGGGCTTATAAGCTAGCAGCAGGTACAACTTCCTTTGAAAACACTTTGCTGCTCTGCACCACAAAGTGTTTGGAAAAGCAGAGTACTTTAATTTAGCAGAAAATATACACAATATTTTGATAGCACAATCATAACCCGGTTTGATTTCACTTCACAGGTATGTTGAATTCAGTATAAAGTGCTCAAAAATAAAAAGGGACATTTATGGATTCACATTTTCCCCAATCTGGACACTGTTTACACCAGTGTGTAACTTTAGATGTGACTGTCTGCTCACCTTTCCCCAGGTACACCATGCCGTACTCCCTGCCCAAAGCGGTCTTGATTTCCACAGTGAAGCACACCTCTTTGCCGATTAGCTTCTTTCGCAGGAACTCTCTGGCTTGAAACGCCCATGGCTGCAACACACACACAGGAATATTAATGTACTCTTCCACGGGGAATGAAAAGGTCATCACATGCATTTTGACTCACGAGACTCATCAGTGTCATTTAAAATAACATGTATATTGTATTATTTTCTGATTGAATTGCAGTATATTCATAGTTCATGGTCCTAACTGCAGGTCCGTTTGCCTCTTCACAGCCACCACACACATGTAACAGTCCACAGCAATGAAGTGAAAAGAGTACACACTAAACACAATAATGTAAAGCAAAATATCTCTGTAAGCTGAATTACAAGTGTATTCTGTCAAGTGTATATGTCTCACAAAACAGAGTCATGTTTGCACCTCACATAAGCCAATAAATTGACCATACACAGAGGAAAAGGATTGGATTTGGGAGGCATAGTGGTACAAACCAGCTGGAATCATTTACTAAGCATATGAACTACATTTTAAATCTTATTTAACCTCACACTAGTTAAATTATTATTGCTCTGACAATTAAATTGATTTTAAAAGGCATGTCCGTCCGTCTGGAAATACATTTAAAAATGAAAAGCAGAATTTTAAGTCTTGCAACCTTCACATTAGAGTTGCCTCTGACACTGCCTAAAGTGTTGGACCATGTATCAGTGAGTATACGAGTCTGTGCGTCATTCCAATACCACATCATTTATTAATAAAGTTTCAAATAGTTTCACGTCCAGATAAGACAGCAGTTTACACTAGTCGCATCTTAAAGCCTCCAGTTCGATTGAGAATTTACATGTTTGTCTCTCAGCTACATCATGATTCATATAATCAAGCATGGTCTAAATACCAATTCATATATAATCACAACTGCTCGATGATAATGATGAAGATAGCAGAACCATGTGACGAAAAGCTTGATCTTCTCCCCACATCTGCATTCACCCACAAATTGGAATTGGGTGGTGCTGCAAGACGACTTAGCAGGACCTTATCCTGCCTTTGCCAAACACACTAATACAAACACAATGGGACAGAGCTGCTCACCTCATCGGGGGTGTCCTTGGTGTCGGGCTGGCCCTGAGCAGCTCGACGGGCCATGGCCCCAGCTCGGATATTACTGAGATTGATCTGACGCTCCGGGGGTGGGCCGCCTCGAGGCTGGCCCCGGACAATGATGGCGCAGCCTGACAGGACCTGGAGAGATGACAATAGAGACTGTCAGTTAGAGAAGATAAAATCAACGTTAAAGAGTTTCATTTGGTGAATGCAGATTCATATCTTGAATATGCAATTCACAAGCCACAAATACCAGCAAACAACACCTTGGAGGAGGAAAGAAATCAGTGGTCACCTTTATTTTCTATTTCCTCTCAAACAACACACACACTCTGACACATTCAGCGAACCGTCGTGTCATTTGCATAGTGGCAAGTGTCAATCTGATAAGCACTACGGGAGGGATATCCTTCATTTAACTACTCTAACATAAACAAGCACAGAAAGTAGGCAAATAAGAAACCCACGGACGTAGTGCATCAGATTTGAGTTGTGTTAAGCCTGCCGTCTGCCAATTCACAAAAATCACGGCAGCTATTAAAAAAAGCAAAACCTTAAAAAGATGTCACAGGAAACTACTATAGAGCTGCACGTTGCCAAGGAGACGATGTGTCATTCAAACGCAAGGTGAGATCACGCTATCTGATAACGTAGCTAAATACAACAAAAAAAAAAGAAAAAAGATAACCTACTCTTGGATTTGACAACCGTGGCATTTACACGAATCTGAGCAAACACTATTTATCTGCGGACTCTGCGGCGTGTCTGTGGGGAGCATCACAGGGGGGCTGTTGATCTAAGATGTGGGTTAGATAAAGTCTTTCATCAAATCGCCATCACTTCCAACTGTCTGACTCACTCAATCCAAGTATAGGCCGTGCAGAAGAGTGGCTGTAATCTTTACACACGGGGCAGGCATGGAGAAAAGAGGCACTACCCCTGTCCTTCTCTGTTTAGAAAAGGGACAAGATCCACTTTGAGTGCACTACATGGCTTTGCCTGACTCTAATCACCTTCCTCAAGTAGCAGAGTTGACTGTGGTAGATAAGAACCATTAATAAACACATGTAAATTAAGTATGCTGCATGCACATGGTGAAAGTTCTGCGTTAGATGTTTATTTGTTAGCAAAAACAATCAATTCCTTCAGTATTAAACCAACTATAGTGCAACCTACTCACACGCTTCCTTCTCAAGGGAGCACACATGCACTTACCTGTTTACAATAGCTACCACAGGTGCAAAAATAGCCTGTCTTCCAACCCAGGAGACACGTGTAATTGTGTTGTTGAGTGTGCTCTCAGTGATAAAGTGCGTCTTGCTGAATTCATATCTGATTGTTCCTGTTGGTGTCATGATGGCACACAGGAGGCTGTACACCTACTGGGCACCTTCACAGGTCAAACTAGAGAACTTAATGTGAAAATCTATTAACTTTATTTAGGTGAGAAAAGTTTGTCTTGCTGTTTGAACAAAGTGCAAGGCAAATCTAAAATCAAAGAAGGTGTAGTAGCATATGGAGGAGCAGAGACTGCACACAGCAAGGATGAATGGGAGATTATAGGGGCAAGAAATCTGTAGCGACGTGTCAGTTTCCCGTGGTTGGTTTGAACCAGCACATTGGGGGGAAAAGCTATGTATGTGTGTGTGTGTGTGTGTGTGTGTGTGTGTGTGTGTGTGTATGTGTGTGTGGCTTGAAGGCGCACAAGACATTAACCAGCGTCTTGAATCATAGTTTTCCTTACGTTAATGACCGGTACTTTACCCGCTGAAATGTGACACAATAGTATTTATAGGAAACGCTGAGTGGGACCTTAATGAAACGTTATATATATTAGCTTTGACTGTTAGCTTGCATGCTAACGCTACTTGGCTGTGCTACTAATGTCCATGAGGCCAAAAAGATAAATAATTTCAGTTTGAGGGGAACGCAACTTCCAGCAGCACCTCAGGGCACGAACTTTGTCCATAAAAGTCAACACTTGGCTGGACAGCAAACGCTAGTTAGCTAGCAGTTAGCTAGCCGCTAGCTGGGAAACTAAACATCTGTTAGCGTTGCAGCTAAGTTACTAAATGACAGTTTACAACCAGCGTGGCTGTAAATACATTTAAATCAACTTTGAGTCATGAACGTTGGCCTTTGGCAGTTTAGTATTTATCGACACACTTTACATTTTCAGTAAGTGGTTAGTTAAGTTACTTAAAGCTAACTAGCAACACAGCAAGCATGTGCTAACGTCAGTTGGCTTCAGCTTACTAGCATGCTAGCAAATTTAGTAGCATACTAGCTAATGTTAGCTGGCATGCTGCCGCAGCCAGGTGAGCTTAATGATAGTGACAGTTGTTAACGACACATTGCCAACACTGGCAGCTACCACACAATTGCATTTATGTCGTTATATAAGTTAAATTAAAGTTGTACGATAAGCGAGAGTTAGTTTAGCTTGCGTTAGCCCCGTGGCTCGCTAAGCTAACTAGCTGTATCCTTCACACTCACGTACACTCACACACTCATATGTTAGATTTCCTACCATTTTCACAATTCCTCTCTGCAGAGCAGCAGCCGGAGAAGGTGCTGTCTGAGCTGGTGCCGAAACCGATGCCATGTCCAACCGTTTAGGAGATAACGTTAACGCCGTTAAGGGGTGACCAGGTAAGGGAGCTGGGACTCTGAAGTGAGTGCCTGTTCTACTGAAAGCCAAGAGAAAAAGGCTGAGCACCGATCAACACACACGTTATACCGGAAACACACTCTGCCATGCATACACACACGTCAAAATCTTTCCGGGTCTGGGAGCGGAATGAACAGGAGCGAATGGAGCCCCTTCGCGACCGCACAAGAGAATTGAACCGAAGACTTCCGGGTCAGGAGGTGCGACACGTCAGCATAGTGTTAACCCAAGTAATGCTGCCTTCAGGGCGGCTCGGAAATTTTCTGATTTGGATCTGAGCCTCGCACAAACGACCCTGTAGATGACAAATGAAGTATAAATATTTCTGAGAGTTGCCAGAAAGAAAAATATCATTTGGGTTTTGAGAGCACATCAGCTGTGTTAAAAATCCATGTTAAAATGGTGTACTTTGAATTAAATGTCATTTGTTTTATATATGTATGTATGTATATATATATATATATATATATTATCTTGTTAAGGTTTGTAAGTATAGTCAGTGCAAGCAGGGCGATCGCACTGGGGCCCCTGGGGTGAGGGGGCCCCCCAACAATATGTTAGGCAGATAATAGGCCTTATGAGTAATTTAAATTTTATTCTATTGATGTATATATGGTAGTTGAATTTCACACTTACAGCCTCAGCACAGTCATTATATATATTTTATTTTTGATATTTTTATATCTTAAGTACTAGTGTTAAACACTGTAGCATAATGCACATTATATATATTTTTTTATTTTAATGTATTTTAATTTCTATTTTATTTTATCTTATTGCTTTATATTTAAATATTACTTCTTATAATTCTCCATTCTTTACAACAAAGCATTTCTGATTCTAGTCATCTTTTTTTTTGTGCAGCAGCAGTAGAAAGCTAAGGCTCTTGTCTCTCCCATCATCACGTCATACCTCATGCTACCCTTCCTTACGTGTGGCGTAAACGTATTACACCATAATTACACCAGAGTTTTGGCGGGAATTTTCCAGTAATGGCCGTGAGAGATCTTGTTTGCATAATCCAAAAAAAAAAAAAAAAAAACATGACAGCTAGAATATTCATTTTTATTAGTCTTTCATGTCATCACGTTGTAGGCTCCTAATGACATCATTGCGCTACATTATGTTTGCACTGCAAATCAGGCGATGGCTTTTAGAGGAATGGATGACGAGTCAATTCAATTCAGTCCAATTCAATAGAACTTTCTTCAGGATTTCAAAAACTAAATAATGCACATAATTCAAATAACATATGGCGCTCTAAGAAATATTTTGCATATGTTTCTACATTTAAAAATCTTTTGGATCAATATGTTGAATATGAATATGTTTTTATTTTGTAAAATCTGAAAATAGAACCTGGCAGATTTTTTACGACACAATTATTATGGTTTACTGACTTACATAATCGTGTAGCCTAGGTTGTGCAGATTTTAGGGATATGAAGCATATAGATACTCCAAAAAACATGACATCACAATAAGCAAAAATACCAATGTAGGCACTGCATGGCAGAGCGTTTCTGTTGCAGAGTTCAGAGGGTTTAATATTGTGCCATTTGCTATATTTGCCACTGAAAAGGCAAACCCACCTACATCAAGGTTTTCTTTTGTAAAAGAGTCAATAGCAATCAATAAAAAATATGTTTCAGCATATATTCTACACAAACTATATATAAACAATTAAAGAAGTGATTCATCATAATAACGTGCACTGGAGCCTGTTGTCACTACCTTAACCGATAACAAGTAGGCAGCTGCACTGACTCATTCTCACTCTTTGTTTGTTTTGTCTTTAATAAATTATAATAATAATTTTACTCTAATCTCCTGCATATCTTCTTCTCCTCATTTTGGCTCTGCAGCTTTTTTCCACAGGATTTCAAGACTTAAATGCCACAAACCGACTAAGATGTTATAACAGTTGCGTGATTCTATTCATTATTATTTCTGACTTAATCTAAGAGGATCACTGAATGACTAGGAAAAAAATAGGGAATATTAAATTGAATTATCTTCTATAGAACAGGACAGCTCATTATTCTATGGACCCTTTTTCATCATGATAAACATTTGGACTTGTCAAAGCAGGAAATAATACCATTCATGATGGCTGCATTCCATTTAGGTGAGCCAGTTCTAGGGCTTGTGCATGCTCACTCATAAGCCATAACTCTAATGAACATGAAACAAGACTAAACATGATGATGGCAAATATAAGTAATGGATAGTGTCACCATCAGTATTGTGATGATATCACCTCACCAAGGATCATCTTATTTTGTCTTGTTCTGCTGCTGTTCAGTCGCACTGAACTCGCAGATGTGATTGTGACTAACTGTGTGAGTGGGAAGCAGGGCATTGCTGGGAAATAACACCAATGCTCAGGGGACCTACTCTAAATATTTGGAGGCTAAATATCTTGAAATGTTTTTACAGCTAAATGCTCAGACATTAATTCCCAAAAGGAGTAACTGGTACTGATGACTATGAACTGTGTGTGACGGAGAGAGACAGGCAGACAGAGCACTCCTTGGCGCAAATTCCAACATCTCCTATTGCTGTTTAGCTGTGTCAAGATTTGGAGATTGTGAAGGCCACAGCACATGAGGCACCTCATTTTCATATTCATGCAACCACTCACCGATTTGTTTTGCCCTGTAGGGACTACTTTAATTGTCACCTGTCTGTAGATCTGTTGCTGTTGTCACAAGGCATCTCTGCATATGGGCTGAACTCTAGGACCAGTTGGGTAAACAGCACCAGGAAATATTGAAGTTTAACTTAGAGTAAGTCTTTAAAGTATATTGTAAGTTTCATATGCTATAGGTGTATATTATTGTATTTAAGTATATGTATATAATCAATTGCAACAGCATTGTATCGTTACCAAAAAAACTCTTCCTTCCCCACTTTACTTCCTTTATCAATGCGTTTATACCACAAATACCACCCTGTGTCCTCGAATGCAACACATTCTCACTCCGACCTCGTCACATATCAGTGTTTGGTCGTGGACCTTCCAAGTCCAGATACAACATGAAAGGTACCCTGGGTGCGTTGGTTGTTGATGTTCTGGGACACCGTGTCAAGTTCTGCCTGTTACATGCATTGTCTTCTTTCAAAATACACTTCTGTTGTCACAGGAAAGTTACTGTTTACACACAGTCTCTTTCAAAATAAATGCACTACATCGGTACAACAACACAAATTGACGATTTTTATCCTCCAACAACTAACACACATGGTTGGGTTTAGGAAAAAAGAACAGGGTTTGGCTTTGTAATCTCTAAAAGCACCACTCTCCCCAGTGAAAGTCAGTGTTTGTTGGACCCATCCACCACCCCTTGCGCCCACCCTACTTGGACTTTCGCCATCTTAAATTTCGTTCTTGTCCTGCCCGATTCCCCCTGACACTGCCAAGCACCATTAAACTATAACGGCGACCGGCCACGTATCATGCCGACATTAAAGGATGTTTTTTTGGTCAGTGTCTGATGCCATAAGTCACTGCCCAATCGCCGGATTTCGCTGACTTCAGAGTGAGATCAGGGTGGTCATATAAGGACATCACATTTTGGGTTTACTTGACCTGATACTTCATTCTACTTAACTCAGACCTGTTTCCCTCGTTCATGGACACTTTTATGCCATCTAGTGGTAGTGAGAGCACAATACACTGATCCATGTAAAAACAAGATGGCAGCCATCTCTGCCAAGTCAGTCTGCTGCCGATCCTGACACAAAAGTGGACAAGATTCAAAACCTGATCACATGTTATGGTTGAAACTTGTTTATTTATGATTAAAAATGTCTGTAGTTTGATATGGCAACAAATTTGACCAACTTTAGCAACAGCAACAAGACGCTGTTAATCAGGAAATACTCGTTTGAGGACATTGGGACTTAATTATCACTAACGATGTTGATTTTTTTATACTTACTGGGTCCTATCCAGCCAACATTTGTATGTGGAACCCATGTGGGTAGTAAATGGACTGAAAAAAAGGGCCCTATAAGGGATTGTCCATTGGTTCCATAGTGTACCCATTCCAGTTGCCCATACAGTTGGGTTTAATCAAGTAAGCCCCACATGCGTTATGCTAGGGCTACAAGGGTACAAAGTAGGTATGGACCCAAAATGGGCATCTTACCTGGGGGCCCCCTTGGGTAAACTCACCCATGTGGGCAATTGGCACGGGGCCAATGTAGAACCTGAGGACATTCCCAAAGAAGGCCCATTTTTCTGTCTAATTACGACCCATATGGGCCCCAAATACAAATATTCACTGGGTACAAATCGTGAGGAAAAATTAAAAATGCTTACTAGACAAAAGTTCAGGTCTCAGGGGGATATGCAATGAGTTGTAAGTGGTGTGTTAATGTGTTGATGTGGCCCTAGGGGTGAAACATCACATACCAAACATAGCTGAGTTTGCTTAACATAATAATTTGTGATTATGCTTTATGCTTGGATGTTAACTCCAATCAGTCAGTAATGGCAAAGTGGATCTTTACCAAATTGTCAACACTTAAAAATGATCGCTTGACATTTTGAGGTTTTTATACAACCTCTGTATTTATCATGTTAAGCTCGGGCTGTTCAGGCCAGAGCATCTTTCATTTTTACTACTCAGTTTCCAGCTGACTAATTTGTACGAGTCAGTTTTATTTCCACAAATATAAAAAAAACATAATTTGTATTAGTGTTTCAGCAGCTACTCACTCATTTCAGCAGGTAGGAAAGAAGCTGGCTTGATACCTGTGGGGGGAAAATGAGAGTGATTTACATAATAAACTGTGAATACACAATCAGACTGAAGAAAATATTAACACATTTTTTTAATGGTACAACTTCAAAATGTTCTCACATTGAAAATGAACATACTTACCCTGGCACTGACCTTTTGATTTGGCTTCCTGTAAAAATACCTAAACAATCTTCACATTATTCCCAACTGACTGTGTCCCGGTCCCATTTGTAATAGCAACCTGGAATAAGCTTGTAACATGCACCCAAAAAACGCCAATTCACGTTGTTGTCCTGACAAAGGGCGTTTATTTTGAAAGAGACTGTATGTAAACATTAAATTTTCTGTGAAAACAGAAGTGTATTTTGAAAGAAGACAATACATGTATCAGGCAGAACTTGACATGGTGTCCCAGAACATCAACAACCAACACACCCAGGGTACCTTTCACATCGTATCTGGACGTGGAAAGTCCATGACCAAACGTCAATATATGACGAGGTCGGAGTGAGAATGTGTTGTCCACAAATTTAAGGTATTGAAAATCTCTTTTTGTATCTTTAAAAAGGAAGCAGAATCCTACATCAGGACTGGGAAAACCCTAAATTTGACCTCCAAGTTTAAGATTCTCTTATAGCGTACATTTATTTTTTGGTATAATTTTATTGCATATCTTTTATTTATCTGTATCACAATTTGTTTGTAACCTCTGAAAGTGTCTGTCTGTCTCTTTGTTGCTCCTTATTCTCTGATCTTCTGTTATGTTCTTTCATACTATTGTCTCTTTGCTCACAAGGAAATGTGAAATAAAGAATATTAAAAAAACAAAAAAAACAAACATTAGATTTGCTCACCGTGGTCCATGCAGAGTAAATCTGTAGTTGTTTCTGCAACAGACAAGAAGCTACAAGCTTCTCTCGGTTACTGAATTCCAAATTCCGCTCGCTATTGATATAAAAATTTCTATGTGGGCCCAATGTGGTTAGCAAATGGGCTGAAAAATGGGCCCTATATGGGATTATCCATGGGTTCCATAATGGCCCCATGGCTGGGTTTTCCCAAGTGGGCCCCACTTGAGTTATGCTTGGCTACATGGGTACCAAGTGGGTATGGGCCCAAAATGGGGATCTTATCTAGGGTAAAACCACCCATGTGGGCAACTGCCATGGGGCCATTATGGAACCCTTGGACAGTCTGATATAGGGCCCATTTTTCATCTCATTTACAACCCACATGGTGCTCACATGCAAATGCTGGCTGGGCTGTAAGAACTTATAGTTAATTCAAATCCCATACACTTATGATTTTTTTTGTTATAGCACGCTGCGCAAAGTTTGATCATATCTACAAATCTTTGGTGACGATTTGGCCATTGATGTACTTGAACCTGTTGCATGTCTAAGTTGCAGTGTACAGCAAATACTGTCCTCAAATGAGTGATGCAAAAGTTCTCTTAAATCACGTGTCAAAAGTGGACTGAGATGAGATTCAACATGAAAAGATGTTTAAGACAATGTTAGAATAAAAGGAACGTATTAAACATTGTCTTAAACATCTTTTCATGTTGAAGAGATGTTTAAGACAATGTTTAAGACAATGTTAGAATAAAAGGAACGTATTAAAACGATTTCCTCATTTTAAAAAATGCATTTAATTTTATCAAGACAACGGTGGAAGATTTTGGGAATGTAGTAAACGCCGGTGCTTTAACCTGGGCTGCGTTAAATGTGTCATTAACACGTCAGTAATTCAATTTTGAGTCTTTAAATCCTTTGAAATAAAACAGGTGCAAATACTGTCATCAATCATGAGGTCAGAGCCGTGCTTGTTTCAACTGTAAAGCATTAAAGACTCAATTAAAACTGAATTACATGTTAAGATAGACGATTTGGGTGCGTTATCCTGCTGCTCCAATCGGCACATGTGGCCACGAACATAAACTCGAGGGAGCAACCCTGTAAATTATTATTTTAAAAAAGACAAAAACGAGCGTCTGCCTCCAGAGAATGGGAAAACCTTCACTGGAGTGAAAATGAAAATCACAAAGACGCACAAATCTAATGAGAAGGTGGAGAAAACATGCTGGGAAAGTGATCAGGGAGGCGGCTGCGTTGCGCACACGGAACCTCAGTGCGCTTTTGGAGAGCTTTTGGTAACCTTTTTACGCGGACAAATTACCCACGTTTCTCAACGCTTCACGGCGCAGTCAAACACCGTTATATATGTTTGATGCACAGGACAAACACCTGGTATGTGTTGGTAAGATGTCAATTTATTTTGTGCCGCGATCCAGCCGCTTAAACTCCCGCTCCCTCCTTTGGCGAGCCCTGTTTAGAATTTACGCACCGCGGATATGTGGTACTGTCTTAACAACACGATCTAAGCGCTTTAATCAACCTCGTTTGGCACGCACTGTACGTGCAATAAAGCACTATAAATCAATGGCCACATCAGCTCCCCGGTAATAAATAAAAAGGCTCGCCTTATTTGTCCTTTGTCTCGGTTGGCAAGGAGATGATGGTGTCCAAAAATGGCTGTCCTCTATCTAACCTGTCTGATTGTACACAGAGAGTATTATTGTCCCCTAACCCAGGGTTAATGTATAATTTGGGCCATATGGCATTTTAAAATCTGAGCCTTTATTTCGGTGGCACTTCGATCTGTGTGGACCCAACTAATGATATTCAATTAGTCATTAAACAGGCCCAAAGACGAGCCTTGTGTGAGGTTTCACATAGGCTAATATTTGCTCGTCAAATATTTCCCTTTGAAACGTTTACAACGCATTTTTATCTGCTGGCTGCCCAAGGAACATCTGTGAGGGTTATTTTAGCCTCCCTCTTCTGGACAAACGAGGTCCCCCAATTGGCCCTCTCCTCGCGCCCATATACGAGTCTATTTGTTCACGTTTTGAAAGAAAATGTAATAAAGAGAGACCGGGTGATGGATTTATGATTTATCAAAAGCACTTTACCATATGGCAGTCGTCATTGAGCGCAGATTTCCAAATGTTTGCTTTATGAAAGGGGACCAGAGATCCCTTTTAATCTGAGCCACTTCACCTGGGAAAGGATGCTCGAGTCACGTGACCACCAGTCCCCCCTAAAGGATGGGAAACATGCCAGTGTTGGGCATTTAGCTTCTTTGAAATGGAATGGAATTTGTGCCTTTATTAAAGTGCAAAAAATACAGTTAAAAGCCTGGATTTTGTTGCAGTGAAAATTTGGTTTGTCACATTGAGACTGTGAGCAGCCACTGCGCAAAACTGGAATATTTCTGTGTTAATTCACTGGTTACAGCAATACGCAGACATTTAGAATTAAAAACACTATTTATAAGGATCCAAAAGCTGAAATATTTATTTTTATGGCGCCAAGCAAGTCTGGTACATCTAAGAAATGTGGTGAAATCTACTCAGTTCATTGTCCTGGTGCAGAAAAAGCACCAAAACAAGATCATGACATTATTTCTTGGCGCATTTTTATCTTATTTGACTTTGTTTACCAAGCACATGCAACAAAGAGAGCACACCATTTAACTTGAGTTTTATCAGGCTGTTTGTATTTTATACTATTACTAAGTATTTTATGTGCATATTAAGGAAATCAAACTCAAACTTGGATTCACTTAAGTTAAATAAGAATTAGTGGAGGGCTCTTTGGAGGAATCCATCTCAACCATTACTTAAAATGACTCAACCCTTTGTTATAAAGAATATTGCTTAAAATCGAAGTGTTGAATTGATTTTAAATAAATGGGAAAACAAGCAGAAGGAAATCTGAATATTGCTATATGTAAAAATGTAAAAGTCTCTCAACCTGAAGCTGATTCGAAGTCTCCAATGCGCACATTCACCTCCAGGCATTATTGACATTTCAGGTAACAGGCCACCACGTCATGTTGAGGTCTGCAGGCCTATAAATGCCTGCTGAAGGGCGTCATTCCCCTCATTGTCATCCACCACAGACACGCGGAGTTACTTGGACAATTTGATTTTTCGACTTTTTATACCATAGGTGTTTTTGTTTTCTGTCTGGGAACATTACGCATTTTGTTTTTCATCCAGCCTGCAGCCAGCGGAGATGTGTGGAACAAACGACGTGCCAAATAAAGGTTGTTTTTTATTTACAAATTTATTACACTCCACTTATAGGCTGGCATTAGATTTTAAGACACCTAATTAAACCTCCCGCTGAGTCTTTGCAGCGCAGTAAACACAGGCCAGATGTGAACTGTTGTGCCATGACTATTTTTTCAGAGTGATTACTTGAATGTTGTCCTGAAGACAGATTTCAATAGGCTGTGTTATGATAAGGTGGTGGAAGCGTCAACCAGCTCGGAGGGATGTTTCTCAACGGCAGACCTCTCCCTGAATCCAAGAGGAGGAAGATGATTGAGCTGGCCTCAGAGGGAGTCCGTCCGAGCCAGATCTCCAGGATACTTCGGGTACGCAAAACTCTTTTGCACAAATAATGACATTTAGGCTTTAAATAAAGGAGATAGGTTGGTTTGTTGTGTTGATATTCTCACGCACAGCTCCGTATGACTGAATGAAAACATCACTTTATGTGTGTTAAAGTGAAGAAAGCGGAATCTACTGCGTATTTCAGGTGTCCAACGGGTGCGTCAGTAAGATCCTGAGCCGCTACCGCCGCACTGGACTCCTGGAGCCCAAGACCATAGGAGGGAGCCGACCCCGGCTTCTCACGCCCGGTGTCATCTCCACAATCATCCAGTGCAAAAGGGAGAATCCAACCATTTTTGCTTGGGAGATTCGGAAAAGGCTCACAGCAGCGCGGATATGTAAATTCTCCAAAGTTCCCAGCGTAAGTGAGATTTTTTTTTTTTTGTCATGAAATTGAGAATGTTCAAGTATTTGACGTGATGCATTTTGCATAATGTGTTTCTGCAAGGTGTCGTCTATAAATCGCATTTTAAGAAAGATCCACTTGGACCACGGGCCCATGTGCATGGAGATCAGTGCGCACACAGAGCAGAGTAAGTCACCTGTGAAGGTCACTGGACTACTGAGAACAGCAAAATATATATTCTGTTTCTGACCAGCATAAAAACATAGTTGGATTTTCAAGAAGCTGATCTGATGTGTTCATATATCCATGGATTACTGGAAGAGCCTATGCGGCAGAGGCCCAGGGGCCCAAGGTGTCAGGGTCCCTCTGGCCTTCATCTGCAAAATGTCACTTAAATTAACATGTACTGACTAGCAAGAGACTCAGAATAACCACAAAGAGACACAAAAAGACAACAAAGACATGCAAAGGAACTGCAAAGAGACACTTAAGTAACTATAAAAAGGGGCAAAACAATCATAAAGGGACACAAAAGGAACAAGAAAGACACAAAATGACCTCAAATAGAACAAAACTACTACAAAGTGACACAAAACAGCCACAACAGAAACAAAATTACTACAGAGACACAAAATTACCTCAAGGAGACACATAAGGACTACAAGAAGACAGAGAAGGGTCAAAAAAGGTCAAAATTACTTCAGAGAGATACAAAATTACCCTAAAGACAGATAAAATGACTTCAAAAAGACCCAAAACAAACACAAGGGGACACACAATTATTAAGAAGAGACATAAAATGACCTCAAAGAGACACAAAAGAACTACAAAAAGAAACTAAATTACCCCAGAGAGAAACAAATTACTGCAAAGAGACACAAAAGGACTACAAAAGACTCTAAAGTACCAAAAAGACACAAAATTACTCAAAAGAGAAACAAAATTACACCAAAGAGACACAAAATCACCACAAAGAGACGCAAAATGACCATGAGGAGACACAAAGGTACTTCAAAGAGACACATAATGTCTACAAAAAGAGAAAAGTACCAAAAATAGACAAAATTACCCCAAAGACACATTAAACGTCAAAAAGAAACCCAAAACAAACACAAGGAGACACACAATTACTGAGAAGAGACACAAAATGACCTCAAAGAGACACAAAACGACTACAAAGTGACACAAAACAGCCACAACAGAAACAAAATTACTACAGAGACACAAAATTACCTCAAGGAGACACAAAAGGACTACAACAAGACAGAGAAGGGTCAAAAAAGGTCAAAATTACTTCAGAGAGATACAAAATTACCCCAAAGACAGATAAAATGACTTCAAAGAGACCCAAAACAACCACAAAGAGACACACTATTATTAAGAAGAGACACAAAATGACCTCAAAGAGACACAAAAGGACGACAAAAAGAAACTAAATTACCCCAGAAAGAAACAAATTACTTCAAAGGGACACAGAATTACCTCAGAGAGACACAAAAGGATGACAAAAGACAAAAAAGTACCAAAAAAAGACGCAAAATGACTTTAAAGAGACACAGAATGATGAAAAAGCGACAAAATTACCATTGAAAGACACAAAATGACCACAAAGAGACACAAAACACCAGAGAGATGCAACTATAAAGTCTGACTATAAAGTCTAGGAGATGTGGTGGGGGCCTTTTGCAAATCTGTGCCCAGGGAGACATTGTCTTACAATCCGCCCATGTGTGTATCATGCACAGATTTTGCTTCTCTGATCCAAGAGGAAGTGAATGAGAGACACATGTTGGAGACAGTATGCAGTGAAGACCAGAAACCTAAAGGTGCCCAGCAGAGAAACCGCACCACCTTCACAATGGAGCAGACCGCAGCACTCGAGCAAGGTGACTGAAAAGTCCACAGTTACACAGTTTATCCACTCAGAAGTACATTTAAATGAATGTTTGTATCTCCTCAATCAGAATTCTCCCACAGCCAGTATGCAGACATGTACACGAGAGAGAAGCTGTCAGCTGAGATCAAACTCCCCGAGGACACCATCAAGGTAGGCTCATAATTCCTAACCATTAGAAATGCTCAAACAGAATCCCACATTTAATCTGCTGATTGTCTCCCAAAGGTCTGGTTTTCAAACAGACGGGCGAAGTGGAGGAGGGAAGCCAAATACAGCAGTGACACACAGAGTAAGTGTGAGTGTGTGTTCATGGCAAAGGCCTGGAAATATCATGCATCATCTGACATTATTGACGATAATTATGTTTTCCATAACTTCTGCAGACCTTAGCAAGCAAAGAGATTTTGTCCCTGTGAATCCATCACCTACACACAGCTTCACATCTCAGCAGGTACAGTGTGAGAGTGAGACCCTGTGTCCTCATATAAGGATATCATATTCTGAGTTTACATGACCTCATACTTCATTCTACTTAACTCAGACCTGTTGCCCTCGTTCGTGGACACTTCTTGTGCCATCTAGTGGCAGTAAGAGCACAATACACTGATTCATGTAAACACAAGATGGCAGCCATCTCTGCCAAGTCAGTCTGCAGCCGATCCCGACACAAAACCTGATCACATTTTATGGTTGGAACTTGTTTATTTATGTTTGATAATGTTTGTCGTTAGATATGGCAACAAATTTGACCAATTTTAGCAACAGTAACAAACTCAGACAATGATAATTCAGAAGTACTCGTTTGAGGACATTGGGACTTTATTACAGGTGACAATGCTGAGTTTTTTATACTGAAGGGGTCCGACCCAGCCAACATTTGTATGTGGAGCCCATGTTGGTAGTAAATGGGCCCTGTAAGGGATTGTCCATTGGTTCTATAATGGCCCCAAGCCAGTTGCCCACATGGTTGGGTTTAATCAAGTAAGCCCCACGTAAGTTATGCTAGGGCTACAAGAGTACCAAGTGGGTATGGGCCCGAAATGGGATTAGTATCTGGGCCGGCTTGGGTAAACCCACCCATGTGGGTAATTGTCATAGGGCCAATGTGGCCAGTCCCATATAAGGCCCATTTTTCTGTCCATTTCCGACCCATATGGGCCCCACATACAAATGTTGGCTGGGTACTGATCCTTAATAGCTCGTCTGAGGACACTGGGACATAATTATAGTCTTGTTTGCTGATGTTAGGACTTTATAATTGTCAGACTGTCCCTAGTTTGGAGTATGTAGCGAAGAAAATTCATCTAGAGTTACAAAACCAATTTGTAATTTTGTTTTTGCACAACAATGTTTGGACATTGAAATAAAGTTTTATACTTGTTTTACACACTGTGACTATTAAAACCAAACCCATCGTCCTCATATGAGGACATTATTTTTTCCAAAACTACTTCCTGTTTAAAGACGATGCTTAGTTTTTCTACATTTTTTTTAAGTCCTACTGATCCCAAACAGCTAGAGAAAATTTAAAAAAGCATACCACACAGAAGCTCAGGGTCTCAGGAGGATATACGAAAGCAGAATTTTCTAACAAAATGTTGGAAGAGTTCTGGTTGTTCCAGAAGAGGTGAGAGATTTCGGTATTGTGTCTTCTTCTGTCCTTACTCATTAGACATGGATGATGAAAAGTGTGATGTCACTATTTTCACGCACCAATCGGGATTTAGCAACATATGAATCTGTTAGAAAATTAACTGGCAATTATTTTTATAATTGTTTAAGTCATTTACTTTTGTACTTTTGCTTTTAAATTAGATACATTTTCCTGACTTTAATGGCATACTTGTACTCAAGTAACATTTCCAATGCAGGGCTCTTACTGGTAACAGAGAATTTTTACAGTGTGGCATAATTTTACTGAAGTATAACTGGTCGTAATAGATAAAACCTAAAGTTACCAAGCTTATTTAGTCAAGAATATTCAATGTTCTGGAGCAATGCTTCCAAATTGTTAAACGTTAATCGGCTTTAAATGTAATTTTGTTTTAGTAATATGACTTCTATGATTAAAATCCTCTGAAATCGGCCTTCAAAATGGCTTTTGGCTCCTCTTACTGTACAGTCACATGTGGAATATGTTTGTGTTGATCTGAAGGCAACAGGAGCGTCAAGAGTCTACTGTGAAAACTCCGAGGCCTCCTCTACATACAACACAGTTGCCAGGAAGTTGCAAAATGGCTACTTCCTCCCAACAGAAACAGGTGAAAATCTCTTTTTTTGGACTGCCTGAGACCATAGTAATAACATGTATGAATTTTGAAAATGGGCATAGGACCATAGAATCGTTAGACTTTTGATGAACTATCCTCCGTCTATCTGATGCACAGGTACGAGAAATTCCGAACATGTGACGTCCATCTCAGTCCCAACCTCATTCCTCCATCAGTCTACTAACATGATGGCCCAGGCCGTGACAGACAAGACTCCACTGGATCCCCACAGAGACAGATTCACTTTCCCACTGGTCCACTGTCATGCAGACACAAGGACACCCCTCCCTTTAGCAGCGGAGACAATAAGAGCGGACAACCCTGTGACTCAGAGCTGGAACCAGCAGGGGATTTCTTTCTCTTGGAGCCAGTTTCAAACAGATGAGAGGTTTCTGTTTGTGCAACAGAAGTGGGACGTGAATTCACATCGATACCTGGACTAAATGTGGGGCCACGTTTCTAACATCAGTGAATGTGTTTGTAGAATTTGAGTGCAGCTCAATTTCTAGACCGGAGGGACACATTTTAGCCAGCAGAGGGCGACAGAGGACTGGAGTTACAGCTCCTCCTTTTTTAAATGTACTGCAGATTCACTCATCACTTTCCATTAACTCTGTGTTCTTGAATTTCCATTAATAAGGTGTAACATAGACTTTATTATCACTGAATTCAAAGCTCTTGTTGTAATCTTATCAGACAATGCTCATGGATCCTAAATGAATCCTTTAAACTTGCTTGTAAAGAAGTTAATGCAACGTATGAAAAACACAAAGTGCTGAATAAAGTTGGACAGAAAAGATGGTAATATTTTATGAATATGATAATCAGTTTTATTCACGTACAGTTCCAGGAAATAAGATCTTATATGCCAAGATGTGATTAAGCTCGCGAAGACAGGTTCCTGCTTGAAAGGGTGTGGATTTTATAGGGTACATTTAGTGCTAATGGAGAATATGAAAACACAAATTATGTCTGAATGCTCTGCAGCGCTGTGACATTCAGTAAATCATAGCTCCATGGATCATTTAAGGTTACCACTGGATAATATGGATGTTATCTCTTTTATAGGCTTGGGCTTGCTGTTTGTTTCACTGCAGAAAGGAGGTTAAGGCGCTCCTCCAAGAGTTCCTTCCAGGGAGGGCCGGTGGGAAAATCTATAAACGTATAGCTTCAAAAAGACTAAACATGACCTGATATCTGTTCTGCTCGGTATCAGCTTTTATGACTGCGACAGGGCAGAGGCATCGAGTTCCTTTATATCCCTTTACTGCATCGGAGAGACGGTAAGACTCGGAGTTTCTCGATAACTGGTCACCCGGGGAATGGTTGGGATCAGAAGGCAAACAGCTTGGTCAGCAGCATGGAAGTGGCCTACTGGCAAAATGACTTGTCGGAATCTAACGCTAGGATGCCAGATAGGTAAACGACATCTCCACATGACAGTGTGCACTTGTGCTGTGAGTTTTACTGTGAATGTAAATCATCTGTGAGCCTTTTAAATCGATTTGGTTCAGTTATTGAAATGGGAACATGATTTCCTCCCCTGAACAGCTGCTGATAGTGGTCAGGTTTAACAACTGTTTTAAGGTACTTTTTTTAGTATTTCCATTTTATGCTACTCTAGATTTCTATTCCACTACATTTCAAAGGCAAATATTGCAACTCAACATCACTACATTTGACGACAATAGTTACTACCTACTAGAGACCAGGTTTCTGATTCATAAAACCATGTGTAGGATCCATACTAAAAATGTATCTAGGACTGAAAGCCAAAATTGGTGTGCGCCAAAAAATATTTGCCAATTTCTACTATCAGGATTCCACCTCACCATCTGTGTCGCCAATTTCCGATCTCCAAAATGTCGGTAAGCATGGGCCATGGTTTTAAAGATGGCAACTTTTGCGTGGGAAGTGGCATACGCCTCTTTTAGGCCTCGTTTTGTGTGTACACAATGTTTATAAATGGGACCCCAGGAGAGGGCATGTTATGGAGTACACTTATGAACTGCGAGGTCCCAACTTTTATACATAAATAAGTTAGAAGTTAGAATATTTTGAGAGTTAACAATGGATTTCAGGGTTTGGGAAAGATTTTTTAACAAAAAAGCTTCCCAAACCTCCTAAAAACGCGCAAGCTAGCAACTCGGAGGCTAATGCTACTAGCAAGACCACTGTGGATGAAAACATTCTACAGGGAGTCCACAAGATTGTCAAAGAAGTTATTCAAGAAGAGAACAACTGCCTACAAGAAGAGATCAAACGAGCCATCTCTCCGATTAACTCTTTCCCCGCCATTGACGAGATATTTCGTCAATCTGTGTTCTCAATGTTATTAGAAAGGGCGCACAGTTACACATCCAACGCCTCAAGCGATGGAGATATTGATGGTCTCAGATTCCAATAATTCCTGTTTTGAATCCGATTTGGACGAAGAAGCAAACAAGTTTGGTGGGACGAAATGGGATCTCCGTGACCGTGACAGTGTCACACTGACAAGACATCTACAGAGGAGAGGGAGACAAAAGTTCTGACATGCTTTTGTTGCCTAAACCCAACCTAAAGTGTTAGTTGTTTAAGGAAAAAATACTGATGTAGTGCATTTATTTTGACAGAGACTGTATGTAAACGTTAAATGTCCTTTGAGAACGGAAGTGTATTTCGGAAGAAGACAATACATGTAACAGGAAGAACTTGACACGGCATCCCAGAACGTAAACATCCAACGCACCCTGGGTACCTTGCACGTCGTATCTGTTTCCATGACCGAATGTCGATATGTGACGAGGTTGGAGTGAGAATGTGTTGCCCTTTACAAAAAAGCAGTGTCTACTTGACTTATATTTTTGTATTGCCTCTTTTAAAAAGAGAAGAACTACATACTTCTTGCACCACTGGTTACCAGACGTTTTTCCTCAGTGTGATAATTTGACACAAAAATCAATCCTAGATGAAGCACATCTTATCTCACGTTAGGCAACCAATCATATAAGAGCTGCTGAAAACCTTATCTAAAAGTTCAGCTGTATCTCGCTGAAGTAAGCTATGGAATTTTCGAATTTGCAACCCAAACGTTTCTAAAGACGTGCTATTATTCATCTCCTTTAGTGACTGTATTGATGACCCCTGTTGCTTTCAGCCACTTCAGACTATTTACCCCGCACTAGAAGTCGCTGCTCTGAGTGATGTCGAGCGTAAACTGCCAAAAACCTGCGTAAACAGATAAGTGTGTGCTGTCGGGCCCCATGGGAAAAAACACGGGTACAGAATACAGCCAAACGTCATGTCAAGTTGTTTATTAAAATAGGAATAATAATACAAAGGCTACAAAATTCAGGAAAGGTCATAGATATAAAACAACTCACTAACACAAAATAGCAGCTGTTATATTTAAAGTTGACAGTATACAAACATATAAACAGAATAATCACAAGGTAAAAATACTTAAGTATGATATGTACAAATATTACAAGGTGTAATTTACAGAATGCACTGACCTATTTACATTAAGGTAAATTAAATAACAGTCACAACGCCATGAGAGCAAAATCAATGTACATTACAATTATATGATACGCCATATAACTGAGAATATGTGATATTTGGTTTCACCTGCCTCACTTTCTGTGTCAGTTGCCTTTAATGGAGATTTCTTCGTTTAAATTCCTACTTCATTGACTCTCCCCTCGCTTTTAATCCGTGCAAGTCGATAAGAGGGTTGCATTTCCCTCAAAGTACAATTATGGCCACGGTAATTATTTAATTATATACAGTTATGGTCTTTGACACACTTGAACCAAAGGCATTATTGTATTAAAATTCATTGAATTAACCTCCTGAGACCCTGTGTCCTCGTATGTGGACATCACATTTTGGGTTTACTTAACCTTATACTTCATTCTGCTTAACTCAGACCTGTTGTCCTCATTCATGGACACTTTTTTGTGCCATCTAGTGGTAGTAAGAGCACAATACACTGATCCATGTAAAAACAAGATGGCAGCCATCTCTGCCAAGTCAGTCTGCAGCAGATCCCCCCCACCAATTTTAGCAATAGTAATAAGCTAAGATTCTGTTAGGAAGTACTCGTTTGAGGACACTGGGTAGGGGTCGACATATAATCGGCCTGGCCGATCTTTAACTTCGTTACATATTTATTTATTTTTAACTTAACTTTTACAGCAGACATATATCGGTTGTAAATATCGGCTATCGGTATCTCTGTTTCATAATAATCGGTATCGGCTCGGTCGAACCCTAACACTGGGACTCATTTATCATTGACAATGTTTAGTTTTTTATACTTATCAGGTCCTACTGATCCCAAATAGCGAGGAGAAATGAAAAAAGTTCAGGTCCCAGGAGGTTAAAAGCCCTGATATGAATGTTTGTTCCTTTACTGCTATGTACCATTCTCCGTGTGATATTCAGAAAAGTCGTCTTAAAGCTGAGAATATTATACATGGTTTAACTTGTGCGTAGGAGCCACACAAACATGAGTAAAATACTTTTAATGCTAAACAGGTGGGGAATCATTCTGGTGTCATTTAAGGCTACAGACATCATCTGGAAACTTCTGCTTATTCAGAAATGGTCCTAAACAGATACAATTTTTAAGAGAAACATTCTAGTGTAACTGGCTGAGTAAATATTCACAGCAGCAAACATTCATCTGACTTCTAGCAAACATCTTAAACATCACACACACACTTCATTTGTGTAGATGCTGTGATCCTTTGCTTTAACTCCTGTTGGTTTGTTCACATTTAGGCTTATTTAGGCCTTTTGGTGGCACTAATTGCAAGAAACTTGATGTATGATGTTGCTGTATGTTTTTTGTTTGTTTTCTAAATAAAATATTTGTGTATTTTAAATGAATGCCTACTGGATACTTGCACCAGAGTTTTTGTATTTCATGTAGATGATTTTAACATGGAAGACCATCCTAAAAACATAAGCAGATGTGTCTGACATGTTTTTTGTGTTTTTGCACGTTTCTGTAGATACGCACAGAAATATTAACATGTTATGTTAAACTCTGGGCAGAACAAAGCACTCATCAATTAACAGGTTAAACCATATGAGGCTGTACAGAAGTATAATGCAGTGGCTGGAGAAAAATAATAGTTTGTCCTGTTTTTTCTTAATTAATAGGATTATTATCTCAGAATTCTGAGAACAAATCATCAGAAAATAAGATATGCTCTTGTTTTTCTGACTTAACTTGATAATCATCTCATTAATTCTCTTTTTTCTTGAATAAACAAGATTACTATCGTAGAATTTCAAGAAAAAATTGCAAGGATAACAAAAGGCATTCTAGTATTTCTGAATTAAAAAGATTATTATCTCAGAAATTTGAGAAAAGTTTTGATGGAAAAGAAGATATGCCCTTGTTTACTCTAAATATCAAGATAATAATCTTGTTAGATCTAGTTTTTCTGAATTAAAGATATTATTATCACAGAAATATGAGAAAAAGTTAGCATGGAAAAGAAAATATGCTCTTGTTTATGTTAATTATTGAGATAATAATCTCTTAAATTCTCGTTTTTCTCAATTAATGAGATTATTTTGTCAGAAATCTGAGAAAAGTTTTCATGGAAAAAAGATATATATCATTTTTAAAAAAAAATTAACTTGATAATAATCTCGTAAATTCTCATTTCTTTAAATAATTGAGATTATTATCTAAGAATTTGAAGAAAAATGTGCATGGATAACAAATGGTGCTCTTGCTTTTTTGAATTAACAATAATCTAAATAATTCACAAAAACAAAAGAACAATTTTTTGTTATTAAAAGCCTTGGTCAGAATTCTGAGATAATAATCTTGTTGTCAGGCTTCTGTAGTCTTGTAACTTAGTATGTTACATCATCTTTGTGTGGCTACCTGTGAGTCAAACATGCACCCCAGTTATTCTGAAATCATCATGAAGACAAATTTAAACATCATGCCAAATCTGGCTCCTTTTCAAACGACGTCCTCTGCTGATTAAAAAAATAAATATACCTACCTACTAATTACAAGCTCGCAGTCTCTTTAAATACCAAACATAATAAGAGGCACAAAAAAGCCAATCTGACATTACTTAGTGAACCCAAAATATTCCAGATCTATAAGACCTATAATATCTCACAGCACAGCAGAAACATCCTCAATAAATCTGCAGTTCTATGTACAGAAGGACTCAGTATAAAATATCCTACTGACCACACACAGCCCACCAGGGGCCAAAGTTCCCTCCAAACTGGAGACCAAATAGCCATGTTATATTTGGCATGGCTCTTCTCTCTCTCATGCTACAAATATTAGCATAAGATTTTGGAGCGGTTCGCTCAGTCCTACTTAAACCCTCTCTCGGGGAATCTAACAGTTACAGCTAACTGGGGAAAAGGTAGTCCAGCTACTGCACACAATTAGCACTGCTAGCTTTGCCAAGGCTGCTGCTGCAGGTCGCTCTGCAGGCAGCAGCACAGGGTTCTTATGAAAGCTCATTTTAGCCTGTGTGATGAAAGGAAAAGTGATCCTGTAAGACTTTATGATGAGAAAACAATGAGTTATTATCTCAAATGAATGAGAACTGATGCTAAGTCGTTATTCTGAAATAAGTAAGTCAATATTTGGAGAACATTTCCCACTGTTTATAGAAAGCATCTCATTATTTTAAGATACTAATTGGGGATGCACCGATTGTAGGATTCTGGGCCGATATCTAAGTTTAAAATAACAAGTTTGCCGGGGCGTGGCCTCCCCTTGATGGCACCACTCGCCGCGCACATGTGAGTGATTGACGGTGATAACGTGTGTGTTGGCTTCGTCAAGTGTACAAAGTGCAGCACGATGCTGGTATAGGACAGCAAAAAGACGGGGACCTCGACATTTAAGAGGCACATGACGAAGGCTTGCCATGGAAAGAAAGATGAGAGTCAGCCTTCAATGTCCATGTTCGTAGTCTGTTTGCCTGATGAAGGTCTAGTACTGAAACGCTGCAAATAAATTTTATATTGCAAGTTAGACAGTGTGCGGGAGTCCTTTTGCAACGTTGGTATCCTTAAAAAAAGTCGGGTTTGAACCGGGCTCCGGCTCGTAATTACAGTTAAAGGGACGAGAGCAGCTCAGACAGAGTATGCACATGCTCGGGTGGGGTCAGGCTGGATTTTTTGGGCCTGATCTAAATTCTAGCACTTGTAGAAGCCATTGTTTCTAGCAAAGACGATGGAGAACAGGCGTTCTTCTTCGGCGCTCGTCCTCGGCGCAGCCTGACGCGCGTATACTGCCCCCGTCAGTTCCAACAGGAATCAACAAGGCCGGCTGAGGGCAAAGTTGTATCCAGTACTTATGGTACCGAAAAAAAAACAACAGGTACCAACGTATTTTTTGCGTGTTGGCATCAACTTGGTACCGAAGTATCAGTTCTCATGACAACCCTAGTATATATACATGTATGTAGTAGGTGTCTGTGTGTGTATATGCGAGTATGCTGATAAGTCGCACTGCTGTTCCTGTAACGTCAACAAAATGTAGTACTACAGAGTTTTACCGTGTTGTCTGTGGTCACGTTTTGTGTTTATTTTAAAGGCCCCTCTAATGACAGGCATTGGAAATTAGCAGTAGCTATTAGCCGTTAGCTGTTAGTTGCGGCTATTGGCTGTTAACAGCTAACGGTAACTAGCTCTCCACCTGCCGATTTCAACACTGATTTGTTGTTCACAATGTAGCATTATCAGGGAAAAAAGAAGGTATGTTCTCTAACGTGTTCAAGGTTACTGCGTTCTGTTGTCCCAAAGGCATCCCGGGGAAGATGGGAGACGGGATGCTGTTAGTTTCAAACCCTACTTTTTACCCTGCACAAAATTTATGTGACACAGAAGAAAAGCATCGGCCACTGAAGTAGTGCAAATATCAGCCGATACCGATGTTCGGCCGATACACTGGTGCATCCCTAATAGCTACTCATTATCTTGAAATACAAATTTTTCAAGTCATTATTTTGAGAACGTTTCTCATTTTATTTTATCAAATTTCTCATTATACTGATGTACATGATCTTTTTTTTCCCCATTACATTGGCAGAAATGGGCTTCCATTAATTTCATATACTTAACTACTGGTATATCTGAAACTAAATTTGATCTTTGGAGGCTTTGCTTAATCACTGTTTTATCACTTGGGTTTCTAGTGTCTGTACTACCTAATGGATAATTTATAATGACTTCTTCATGCTTATATTTTCCTCCCTTTTGGTATTATCATAGATCTTTGTTGAATTAATTCACAGGCCGAATAATATTTATCATATTTGCTGTGATATTTGTAAGGTATATGGACGGATGTTAGTTGCCGCAATTACCCATCCACATTATTTGTGCTGGAGGTAATTAAATATGTTTTGCAGTCCAGCTCAACACATTAAAAAGACAAAAAAAACAACAACAAAAAAACAACAAACTTCCCAGTTTCAGGAGGGTACCTCATGTGGTGACCTCCAGATAACTAGGCTCTGTCCATGTTCAAGTATATCCAGGAGATAATACTGAGTCGTACTCATCGTCTTTGTTCGCATGGCTTCAGAAACTCTGAACATGTCAAAAAACAATTAGTATGCCGTCCACGTGCCCGAGACTTTGGCAGTAAGAACGATATTAAGGCTAACAACCGGAATGTCTTCATTTGCAAAGTGGAAGAATTCCATTTGGTTTATCCAGTCTTCAATCATTAATTTCTGTCATCGCCGTGGAAATGACTAATTCAGCAACAAAATCCCAAAATGGCCACTTTCCATTTGGTGATTTTCCTCATTTCTCCCCCGTGGACCGTGCTGGAAAGGCCTTGGAATTTGTTGGCCCAGAGCCGCTCCTTCTCTCGCAGGCTGCGGTGAAGTCGTGCATTGATTTTCACACCACGCCATCAGTTCCTCTCCAGACTGGGGTAAAGTTTGAACACTTTGTAAATCCACTCAGAGTAGAAAGCAACGTTTACAAAAAGCGCAGGCTGTGATGAGGCGCATTTTGTCCTTTGGATGCTAACGCCGATGATGACTTTGCGCTCGTGTTCCTGGCAGACCAATGGACCACCGTTGTCTTTCTGCAATTAGAGGGTAGAGAATGACACATCAGATTATTATAGTGCATTGTATGTGTTAAACTAAACCATCTAAAACATGGTGATTGCTGCTGCTACAATGTTAGTTCACACAGACGATTGAAAAATACACCATTTTTGAGGTTTAACCCTCTCTCAGTTTCATTTTCATTTGCCACTTCTGAGATATTCCTTGCAATGAAAAGAATGGAAAAAAACTCCATTTTAAACTTTTAAATTATTACCCTTTGCAACCTGTAAACCTTTGAACCCTGTGCAAATTGGTGCAATTTATTTTAAAAAAACATGGTTAAAAAAAGGCAATGAAAAACTTGGTAAGAAATGTCCCACAAATTGGAAAAAAAAAGAGGAAAAAAAATATTTAGAAAAATATTTATCAGAATTATAATTTTTAAGAGTGCTTAAAATTATAATAATACTGATACAAATTTTTAAAATTGTTTTTATCTTTCTTTTTTTTTTTTTTGTTAAATTTAAAAATTTTTCCCTAATGTTTTGGGTCATTTCTTTATTCATTACTCAATGCCTTCTTCCTATGTTTCTAAAAGAAATCAAGCCAAAGGGTTAAACTATTTAAAACTTTTTTTTGGCACCTTTTCTTAAGAGGAAAGTAGTTCCAGTGAAAACTAGCTATCTACTGTAGACGTTGCCATGTTATTCAGGTAAAATGACATTTTAAAGGGACCGTTCATCCCCAAATCAAAAATACATATCTTTCCTTTTACTTGTAGTGTTATTTATTGGTATACATTGTCTTAGTGTGAGTTGCCAAGTTTTGGAGATATCAGCTGTAGAGATGTCTGCCTTCTCTAGAACATAATGGATCTAGATGGCACTCAGCTTGTGGTGCTCAAAGCTCCAATAAATACATCTGAAAAACTCAACATTGATGTCTCTTTCCAGGAATCATGACCCAGTTACTCAAGATAATCCACAGAGCTTGTTGTGAGCAGTTTCATGTAGGAAGTACTTTCTTTCTTTTCTACACATAGATGAGAGCCTTGTGCTCATGACAGCAACAGATGTAAACCTTAATGGAGTACTCCTCGGCCGAGCTGTAATGTTAGTTAGCTCAGTGGTGCTAGGTGAGCTAGCATTAGATGCATGCTTCCCTCTACACAGTGATATCTTGAGTAAAGGTGTTCTGATTTCTGGAAAGAGACATTGCGGTTGAGTTTTATTTATTTTTTTGGCACTTTGAGCACCACAAGCTGAGTGATATCTACAGTAGTTCCATTATATTTAAGAGAAGGCAGACATCTCTATGACAACTCACACCAAAACAATGATAGATAGCACTACAGGTGATGTACAATTATGTTGCATGCATGTTCTTTGTGTAGACATTTATTTGTGATCCTTACATCACACACGCCTTCTCCTCTCTTGCCGCCGGCACATATCCTGCTCTCCCCAGCGTCCCCTTTGATTTGTGAGCACATGTCGTTGTTGACCATGGGCATGGTCAAAGCGTTCAGTGCCTCATCGTATCCTGTGTCTGGACAGAGAAGGATATGCAGTGTGATTGTTAAATGCTTCAGATATTCTTTATGTATGAATAAACATGGTTAAAATGCAAAGTGGCAGGGCATGTGGGTGGAAGAAGGCAGTACTTTTGGTTTCCCCCCATCCGTACATGGTGCAGTTGGTGCCCTCGGCAATGTGACACTCTTTCACTGGAAGATGAATAGTGGAGGCACCTTCGGACACAGGGGCGGGACTAGAACAACCACAGTAATAGTCACAATCAATTATTTCATAAATAAAACAGTCTGTATGCACAGAAATAAGAGTCAGGCAAATAAGAGATGTTAATGTTTTAGATCAATAAAAAATGATGTAAAATCCATACAGTACAAAAATGACATCACAAGTTATGCTTGCCTTTAACATTACATTGCTTGCCTAAATTAGTGGAAACCTAATGAGGAATTGAGAACTTACTCTTCTAGTTTCAGCATAACCAGGTTGGATCCTTCTGGACCACATATAAGGCGAGAGATGCGTAGCCTTGGATGGCTTGAGGATTCATTGAGGTGGCGCAGACCAACCTGCACACTGTAATCCTTGAGATCTGGAACACTGATGACCACAAGTTGCATTATTGGAAAGGTAAGATCCAAAGTTATTGGAGCTTTACCTGAACTAGAGACTAAAAGTCAGGATAGTTGTGTCTTTGCTGCTTTGATTTTTGTTTTTTAGTCCCTCTGCTTTATGCAAGTGTGAAAGCTAACAGTGCTAACAGTGCGAACAATAATAAAAACAGCAACAGTGCTGACAGAGCTGATAATTTTAACATGGGAGGAAAGCAGAGGGTGGGTGTTACACTACTGTGACTATGCTGTCCCGCCACTATGGGTCAGGATGGCGTTACCAGCGATTAACTGTCACATGACTGCAGTGCAGTGCGATGGTGCTTAGCTAGCTAGTGGGATACACACACAGGGACTCACATGCAAAGAATGGAGAAGCACATGCAAAGGGAGCGTCACTAAATTTTCTGCTCAGAAAGCCATTACTCCACTTTTACTATACCTTTAGGCTATGTAGCAGATTGTTTGCTGCTATGATATTGCTCCTAAAGGTAAATTTACCAAATTTGGAGAGTTTGAGTTGTTTTGACAACACTGTGGTTGCTGAACAGGTGGCTAGCAGCTAACATGAACATGACGAGTGCTAAACAACAGCAACAGTGATGATAAAGCTAATGGTGTTAGCCAAGTGGAACTGGAGGGTGGGCACTACTTCCGCACACCGTCTACATATTAGCAGTAACTGTCAAATGCCCAACGTGATTTTGCCAAGTAGGACATGTTCCTGGACCAACATCCTACATCGCATTCCAGGACCAACATTGCAATCAACCAATCACAGCCCTCTGACATCATCAGTGTGCTGCTCTTGTGCTTCTTTCAAAATTCCTTTGTGCTTCTTCAGAGCTAAGCTAGTTTTAACAAAAAAAAAAAACAACCTTGTAAGCTACTGCTGGGTTAGCGAGTTCGCTTGCTAATGGAGGTGGCCATGCTAACAAGTGAGCTTGCCAATAGACAAGAATATTAGTGAGCTAGCTTGCTAACTAGCTAACAAGTAAGCCTTCCAAAAGGCTACAATGTTAGCAAGTTAGCTTGCTAACTAGGTAGGCTATACTAACAAGTAAACTGTTCACAGACAAAGTTAGTTAACAGTTAGTAAATGCCACATGGGATGTTGATCCAGGGGCGTTTCCTACTTAATCTTAACTTAAACCTACAAAATCACGTTGTGCACTGATGAATAAGCACAGTGCAAAGCGGCGGTAATGAGCTGGCCAGTAGGATACACACATGCACTAACATGCACGCAAGGACACAACAAACCACAGAGAAGCTCAGATTACAACACACATAAATAGCATGACTTAATTGTTAATGCTCTGAATGTCACATATAGCTCCTTTAAACATTGCATGAGGTAAGTTGAGATATATTGCAAAATGTTAAACACAAAATTACGGGTGCATTGTTGCACAGAAACATGATTACAGCAATTTGACATTAAAAGTAATAAATGACTTTTCAATCCTTTTTGCAAAATGTGAAGACACGAAAGACAAGTACGAGCATGTTTTTCCATGACACACACCGGGCCTGAGAATATCAGCTAAATGGCTAAAAGCCACTGATGTACACCATATGCAATACATAGAGTACTGTACATGACTACAGAGATAGGGACATTTTGTTTAAAGCCACTACTTCAGATGTAGAGATTATATATGTATATGACAGGCTGTGACAACTGCAGAAGTTAGGCAGATCTGCAAGACAGTCTGGAGTGAGTAACTACCAGTAAACAGGATACATCCATCTTTACGTTAAAGAAGGCAGCAAGCAAGAAAGAAAAATGTTCGAGAGATAAATGGAAGAGGTAAATGACAGAAGGGCTTGGTTAAAGTTTGCCAGACAGACATAAAAAGGTGGAGTATTACCAGGAGGTGAAGCACTGTTGGTCCGTCAAAATCCAGTCTTCTCTGATCAACGAGCCTCCACACAAATGAACATTCCTGAGAAAATTTAAGACAATTTTCACCATTACTATAGGTGTAAAAGCATAAAAAAAGCGATATAGTTTTAAATATTTCGCAATAACACAGATGTAAAATGACATACTCTCTTTGGATGCTAACAACCCAGCTGCCATCTGTCCCACGCACTTGGTGTCCTCCAACAATTCTGGTGTTTATATGCACAAAGCACGATATCTTGGGCCCAGTCAGAGCTACACATGAAGACAGTTTTATGCTGCATGTTAGATGGATGTGTTATTTACATTTCAATGGGGAAATGTACATTAAAACTTCAAAAGGCAACCATAAAATATGATTTGTTTAGTCAGGTACATGACAGCAGACGGATTTGATATAAAGAGTAAAAAGGAAAAGGGACGAGATTGGAGATAAGAGGACGAGGAAGAGGACTAGACTGGTAAAAGCCAGATACGCCGAAGTGATACTCACTGTTGGGTTGAGGAGCCACTGTCGCTGATTCACCTGATAGAAGCAAAGAAAAGCACGACAGTAAGAGGAGACCCCACAGCAGCAGGATATAATTTAAACCACTGACCATACATTGACACACAAAGCATGAAACCTCGTTGAAAAAGACACCCTTCTTTGCTTTATGAAGACTTATCTCTGAATCTTTGCTGGAGGCAGCCCGCAAACCGCAGCAAATAAATTTGCTCGAGACCTCAAAAACTTCATGGAAGATGTGTTTTACATTACGGAAATTATTGTGCAGCCATTTGAAAGAGGCTCTTCAACGCGGCCAGATTGAAACCAGCCAAAGAAAATGTTGGGTCCGGCCGTCTGAGTGTGTGTTTGCTCTAATAAAAGGATGGCAGCAGAGACCTGCATCTGTTCGATGTTTCAGCAACATGTGTACTCTGCCAAATGGGACGAAACCACGGCTGACAGATTACGTAAGCAGCCAGACAAGCCGTATGAAAACACAATTATTCTAACATTTTAGCTGAAGTCAACAAAGGCTGCAAAGCTAAACCACTTGTGTTATTTCATTGCTTTGCACCACTATACCAACACTGTCCTCCTCTACTGTGTTCTAAATGCCAATCAATGCTCTTTAAGGAGTGCTTTCTGGACAGTCTGAAAGGATCACTTGCAAGATAAATGTGACACTTTCTAATGTCACAATAGAGGGACAACTACGCAGGTTGATTTTAGCGCTGCTCATCATGGACTATATTGCTGTCATTGTTCATTTTAGTCAAACCATACAGTTTGAAAATGAGGCGCGGCTCCAACTAGAAAACAATGTTTTGATGCATTGGATGTGCTGAATGTGCATATTAAGGCAGTACAGGAGGAGGTGCACATTAATAATCCTCCAGGACTGTAACATGCTCATGTTTAACCCAAACAAGGAGGTCTTGGCCTGATTGTCTTGGTGCACACCTGAGTGCGATTGCTGTGTTCACACCTGCCCAAACGAACTGCACTTATGGAGCAAACGATCTTGAGTTCAACTGCACCGAACCAAACAGGGCAGGTGTGAAAGGACCTTCATAAGATACACTCCAGCAGCACGCAAGACACATAGGTAGTCATTATCTCTATACGTTTTTGAAGCAAGTACATCATGAGCAAAGTGATGAAAAGCTGCTTTCAGTGAATGGATAGTGACAGTTTTTGGAATTTCCTGAAACCAACAATCCACACCTGCTTTCTGAAGAAATTAGCCAGGTGTCCACAGGCAGCATTTGCGAATTCTTTCCTTAACATTCCTACTTTTAACCACTGCTTATATATACTGTATGTACACATGCATTCTCTGTTTTTGAATTAAACTCTCACTACTGGAATTAACCACTTGCAGGCTGTTCATTTCTTACAGTTTTTGCACAAGTGAACAATGCTTCTGAGACTGTTATGAGAGACTGTCCACCTTAAAGTCACTGTATGCCTCATTCAGAACATAACTATAACAGCATTTGCTATGTAAAGATATTAGTGTCTTGGGCAGAGAATGAAGTCACACTTTGTTTGTGTGTTGTATGCGGAGCTTCTCTCTTCTTTGTTGTGGTAGCTGGTCCCACTGCACATGGATGGTAATGCATTGGAGTCCTTGTGAGTGTATCCCACTGGGTAGCTAATCGCCTGCTGCTCTGTGTTCATAAAGTGATCACTGCTGATAATGCCGTCCGGACCCATGGTGGCAGGACAGCGCTGTTGCAAAAGCAATCATGTCCAACCCCTGTTAGCTGCTAGCAGCTGGCTTAGCCATTTCCATGTTGAGAATCGTGTCCATACAATCTTAACTGAGACTCTGAGTCATAGATATGCTCTGACTGTTGCATACAGCTCATTTTAAGGTGGGAAAAATATGAAGCTACAGCCAGCAGCCGGTTAGCTTAGCTTAGCACAGAGAGAGCTAGCCTGGCTCTGTTCAAAGGTAACAAAATCCCTCTACCAGTGCCTCTAAATCTCACTAATTAAAACTTTATATGTTTGTTTAATCTGTGGAAAAAATAAAGTGTAAAATTGATAGCCTACGTTGTGATTTTACAGGTGTTTCAAGTCTGTCAAGTTTGTGCCAAGCTACGCAAATAGCTGCTCACTCTATCAACATATTATTGTACGGTTACTATATAAGGCTGGTATCAATTTTCTTGTCAAACCCTCGGTAAGAAAGCCAATAAAATCAAACTACTCCATTAACACTCTGCTAAATAGATCACTAAAACACTGCGCTATACAACACGTGCACCATTTGCATTTCTTCTATGTTGAACTAAGGCTCTGCTCATATTCATGGCTGATGTAACACAGATGCGTCTCTTGTTACAGAGACATCAGTGACAAGGTTATTTAAGACACTCACAGCGCTTCAGTTTGCAGTAGTCCCAGGCCAAGCGGTTATTTGGATTGGTGTAACACCAGGGGCCATGTTTGTCCCGGTCTGGGTTCCGGCAGTAGTTCTTCTCCAGCCCCACGTGGGAGTCTGTAGAGTGAGAATCCCCACTGTAAAACACACAGATACAGATTCTCATATTCCGTTTGTTATTTTGCACACAGTCTATCAGAACTAACACTAGGCCACGTTTCATGAAGTTTTATACACTCGCACTCTAAAAACAGTGGCACACACACATGCACATACAGTGCATATACACTGTAAGTAACCATGGTATGCCTGGAAAGTCTGACTATGGCCTTCCTATAGTGCAATGAATCCTCTGCATTCACTGCACAGAGGCCGTAGAAGGAAACGCAGAGTTTTGTGAAGAGTACTCATGGGACTATGAAAGTATGCACTAGAAGCATTCAGCAGGGCTCAGACCAGCAGGAGCCACATCCTCTGTGGAACTGTTCAATTGTGCCCCCGATTTGAAGGAATTTACATTTAACTTTGTGTCTTTTTGCAGCGCTCCACACAACTCTGGGAGAATTAAATGTAATCTTTTCAGATACCCATAATATCACTGAAAAGAAATTACCCAGTAGGAGTTTGGACACACACGCACACAAACAATGCTGAGCGATGGCTGACAATTTGTCAAGAGGTGAAGATAATTCCACTTCCCAGGAGAATGTTAAACAAGCTGTAGCTCTGAGCAGTTTTTCCTGGGATGACCCTTGGCCTTGAGCGGGGTAGACTCGCTGGCTGCAGTCTACGCGAGGGAGCTGATTGGCTTTGATCTGCTTTCCTCAGAAAGCACTTCCTGGGGTCAGGGGTCGGCTCTGGAACATGTCCATCTGTCTGTACCATTTTGGCTTTTAAAATTCCTGTAAATTAAGTAATTCCAACAGCCTGACTTATAAGTGCCAAGCGACAACCCCAGAGTGGGCAACCTCTCTGTCAAAATGGGTCACTTGGCGAGCACCGCAGGGTTTCCTCTCATCAGTTAGATGAATAATAATTGGGCCTGGTATTGACCCCTGAGGAACCCCTGATTTCCTCTTGCTGTTTGTTTTCACTGCTTAGCTTCATTCATATGAGAGGGATTTTCACAAGGCAAGGGGAGCTGAGTCGTCAACAAACATTCATCAACTGAGCTGAAAAAAATGTCAACCTCTCTAGGAAACCTCCTGTGTGTTTTTCAGTACAGCTTAAGCTTGACTGCGAGTTAAAAGACAGAGTAAAACAACAAATTTATTATGCAGAATAAACAACTATGTTACCTGTTTATGTGATTTGACCAGTTTGAACATGGAATCCCAGATCGAGTTGTGGATAAAGTGCCCCTGTATGTTTCTCCGGTGTCTTCATAACACTCTAAGGAAGAAAGGGATATCATTATTTCAGACCATCTTGTAAAACACTCCCAACAGAGCATAGAATTACTTAGCCTGGCAGTTTCTCAAACACTTACACGCAATCAGTGAGATTGAACTACATACATGATTTGGGTGGTGGCTGTCTTTCTCACTGATGCAAACATAACATAATCAAGTTCAGATTTTTGGCTTTTCTATGTGGTTTGGATCAATTTAAAGTCAAAGGCCCCTGTGTAAGCGGCGGTACAAAATTTGAAACCTTACTATGTCTGTTCTTAAACAGAATCAGAAGAGGGGCTGTAGTAACTAACATGCTGGCTGCAGCTTAACACGTGTGGTCATCTCACTGTAAATGTAACACAGAGGAACATGGGAAATGACAGCGAGCGCTAATGCCAAAGTCTGGTACTCGTGTTCTTCCATGAAATGGAATTCACTGGGTAGCATGCTGCCAAGTGGCCCAGTCCTACGGGAGCAATATACAAAGTGTCTGTGTAACTCCACTTTGCAAAAACATAACATGGCTCTTAAAGCATTTGTCGATCTATATTTAAATCACATTCTACAGGAGACAGCATGGATATTTGCCATTCTTATGAAGTTTGGTGCTTAGAAAACACTCCGGTAGTCTTAAAGGAACAGTTTGACATTTTGGGAAGTAGAGCGTTATGTGGGAAAATCTATACCACTCCCATATCTGCACGATGATTGTACCCAGCTTTGGGCTTAAATGACTTTAGACGTGACAAAATAAGAAAAAAAAATACTTGAAACTAGACTTGGGACTTCACATAGACTTCAGCCTTTTGACTTAAAAATACTTGATACCTTCCTCCAAGCCCAAAGCTTCAAAAGTATGTTATTTTAAAGTGTGCCAGCAAGTTGACACTTAAGTCCCAAGATTCACTTTGTTTTAACCAATCCAACGACATCCAATCAAGTTAAAGGACAGAACCACGAAGAGCTAACTTTACGTTACTGAGCAGCAGTTGGAAAAAAATACTTAAGTTAATTTTGTTCATGTGCAAAAAGTGTAAATAAAAAAATTGGAGTATGCAAAAGGTGTGGGTCGAAAATTTCAGACAGAGGCACAACAATTTTCAGCTTTGTTCAACATTTGAAGGTGGACAAAGAGCAGTAAGTCAAGGATAATATTAACGTAGCAAGCTAATGCTTAGCTAACGTTAGCTTAACCACTAAATAACTTTTTACCAAACTTTTTCAAAGAAATACAACTTTTAAAAAGTAGTCTTAGTTTTTGAGTAACTAATATATTACTACTCTGTTGTGAAATTGACTTTACATTTGGTGAGGACCATATTACAACTTGTTTAGGACCCAGAACTCAAAGTTTAAGATTTGGGATTTGATCTGGGACTTATCAGTCTTGACTTAGGACTTGAGTTCAAAGACTTGAGACTTACTTGTGACCAAAACAATGACTTGGTCTGACCTCTACAAATTAGCACCTTAGATCTTGTCATGTTCACTGTTCACCAAGAAACTGTTACAGCCCACAACTTCCTGTTAAACCATGTTGTCATTTTTACATTTCTGTGCAGTGACAATTAATCGAACAAGAAATAATACATATATTAGTAGACTGTGGGTACTAATAGGCAGATTTTCTTACCTGTGGACAGAGCTTCCCCCATTTTTCAGTCTTTTTTGCTAGGCTAAGCTAACTAGCTGCTAGCTCTCTCTGCTAGCTACAAATATTTAATGTGAGAGTGGAATCAATTTTCTCATCTAAACCCTGGGAAGAAAATGAGTAAGTGTATTTCCCCAAAATGCTGAACTGTTCCTTTAAAGGTGAAGTTGCACAGTAATTTACCTATTTTTTGTGTGGCCTCAGCATCACACCTGGGGATGTGGGTGCAGTTGGCTATCCTCTGATTAGGGTCTGTAGTGAAGCACCATGGGTACTCTGCACCATCGGGGTTACGGCAGTAGTTCTCTCTGAGGTCTCTATAACACATACACAAACTACAATTTAAATGATTTGGCTGATGTATTATAAATTTCATTTTTTATACTTCATGCTGATCACTTTTCTTTTTGGCACTTCAACAGTCAAATACACAAAATGGACAAAACACAGTGGAGAGACAAGCTGTCAGGGGCTATGAAACTAACATTACTCACTTGCATTTGAAGTTCTGAGGGAGAAAGGAGTGGTTATGGGGCAACTGGGAGTCCCAGCGCTGACACGTCACACCCTCCGGAGTGACATTCATTGTGCCTCGGTAATCTGTGCCCTTTCCCTGGACGCAGGATGTTGTTACATTGACATCTGTGTCCTCACTTGAGTCCGAATCTAGCAAGGAAAGAAAAAGAAAATGTAAGTGTGGGCATGAAAAAGGAGGTTGCTAAAGAGTGAGATGTAGGAGGAGGGAGAGAGGGAAGGAGAGAAGGAGGGAGGTATTAATCCCCAGAAGAATGTGTCATGTTTAACCTAGAGACAGATGATCAAAAACAGTAGCACTCCCCCCTTGTCTCAACTGCGATAGGAAACTTTGTATATTCATAACACTGGTGCCCTACATTCTTGCATACAGGAATATCCACAACAATATGCCCTTGTTTAACTTGCTGATGGCACACAACGTCACAGGCTGTTGTTAGAAAACACCTGGAACCTTATCAGCTTCATGATCTCTGCCTAAACATTAAAATCTGTTTCTGGTGAATTTGTTTATCGAAGCTCAACCAAAGATATCACATCCAAGCCCAGTCTGGCCGGGGCAACTGTATCCACCGGAAAACTATTCCAAACATCTTCAGATGGAATTCTGCTTTTCAGCAGTGCCGGGATAGCAGTACACGGGGAGCGACTTCTCCCCGTTGGATTTCTGTCTCTGTTTCTTTAGCCTTTGACAAATGAGATGGGAGAAGATGGAGGAGGAAAGGGAATGTTTTGAGGCAGAAACGAGAAGGTGGATGGAAAAGGGGGATTCTTTGGCTTGATGTAATGCATGCCAGTGTCTGTGTGCACTGCGTAGTACAGGTCAGTGGTTTTTATCTTTCTGAGGGCAGGCATTGAGGGATGCACACATCTGGACAAATGCAGATCCTCCGCCCTCGCTGTAAATCATCGCATGTACTGTAAAGTGCATGTGTGTATGTGTCTGACAGAGACAAAGAGAGATGCACTGTGTGTTCGTGGGTGTGCATGTGGGAATATTTCACCGTGCTTTCAAAGAAAAAAAAAAAAGAATAAATTCTCCAATGGTGTAACCTCTATTTGGCGTCCATTATTTTACAACTGTCTTTTGTACTACATGTGAAGGCAAAAGTTATCTAAACTACAACTCTGTCAGACTCTGCCAAATGTGATATGACTCAAGTGGAGTTATATTGTTTATCCCCATAACACTTACAGTATGCCTTATTGTTTCATATAGTACAATAGCAAATACAATAGGGCTACACTTTTGGATGATTTTAATCTATAGATTATTTTCTTACAATTAGCCAAGTATTTGTTTACTCTAGAAATTAATGACAGTGAATAGTCTTCACATTTTTCTTAGTTTTCTTAGTTCAAGATCCAAAGATATTCGATTTACAGTGATATAAATTAGAAAAAGGAGGCTGGAGCCAGAGACAGTTTGGCATTTCCTCTAAATAAATAACTTCAGGTTGCTGATGTAACCCCGGTTCTCTGAGTGAGTTGACTAAAAGGTTTTCATTATGGTGGTTGCTCAAGTTCTGCCCATCAGGTCAATCCAAAATCTACCATAGGTATTCAACAGAGCCCGCTAACTACGTCCTGCTCCTTAGCTGTTAGCTTCTGATGGTTCATCAACCCTGTCGGAGCTAGCATGGAGCCCACACTGTCAATAACTGCATTCCCTGAAGAAATATCGAATTTTTGGAAAATGCAGTTTCAGAGAGAAGCAGACGGAAGTGTCGACAATATGCCTTTGAAATATATATCCTGGATGTCAAACTGATTTAGAGGCGAAAACAGCTGAAAATGATATACAGAAGCTAAAGCCTTCAGATACCAGTGTTAAAGTGAACAACCAAATCACCCGGCAATCGAGAAAGAAGACAGTGAAATTAAGGAACATCAGTGTTCTTATAAAACAGGTTAGGTGTTCATTTAGTGTTACAATCATTAAAAAGCCAAAGCAGTATATGAATACATTCCGTATCCCTTCAGTAGCCTAGTTCAAACCAGCCTGAAAATTGATTACACGAGTCACTGGAACACCCCTGTATAGCCATGGTCGCAGCTGGCCGATGCTAGGCCACACCTGGCAAGTTTGCATCCGAGGGTGGGATTTAGGGCCCAATTCCATTTCTTTTTTTTGCTCCTACCCCCTATTTTTGAGAGCCACCTTACCCCTCGGAGCACAGTTATGAGGGGTAGTAATTGAAAACTTGCTCTATGTAATGGGACAACCCTTTAAGACTCTGATACATACATAATCGGTATGCTGGTGATTTCTCTTGCCTGGGCCACAGGGATCCTTTTGTGGTTGTGTGTGGGATTCATTCACAACTTAACTTTCAGTCAATCAAACACGTCTTCACGCTGCTTCATTACCAAGCCACTAGCACTGCTCTGTAGCTAACGTTAGCAACACATGCTCCTACTGTACCTGTCTGCACTGATGTAAAAGAGGCGGTAACAAGTACGGCAGCTTTGCCGCTGGACTTAAGTTAAATTTTGGGCAGAGGGGGGAATGCGACATGGAAATATGTCAAAATGCGGGACTGTCATGCACAAATCAGCATCAACAATGTAATGTTAGCTAGTTAGCTAGTTTGCTACCGAGACATTGCCATACTAGCGGTTTCTTTAGTTATGCTAGAAAAGTACCATAATATATTGAAACAACACTAAATTAACACACTAGATGATTATCATCATTTTTAAATCTTCATTAACGAAGAAAATGTACGGCCATGAGGGCGATGTAGCCCTAACACTGTACCCTTCTCCTGTATCCCAACAAGAAAAGACACACACTCTCCTGAATGTGAAGCACAAAACAGAGGGGTAAGAGCAAAGTGGTAGGGGCAAGGGGTGTATTGGGGTTGGGCCTTATCAAAGGGTCAGTTGGACTGAGATTTGGTCATCACTTCATTGTCATACTAGTCAAACTACTGGGTGACCCTTTGTGTCTCTACGGCAGCATCTGCATTCATTATGTTCCTCCTCTCCACTTTTTCTTTAATTCATCACTTATTGGTAAACATTATGGTTCTTATACCACAGAAACAACTATTAGGCCTTCTGATGGCCATGTGGTGCATCTCTGTATAATAGCCTCTATTGTAACAGTCCATTTTACAGCCCCTTGTCATCTGTGAGTGGTTTCAGTAAAACACTTCTGGCTCTCTGAAGTCAGACACTCCCCTTTGCAAACAACCTATTTACTCTTCCTTGTTGAGGTAGGAGGATTGGAAGCCTAGCACCACATGAAACACCGGGCTTGGTAAACAAAAGCCTTGTGAGACTCTCTGCAGGAGAGAAGAGGAGCTTTGTTACTCCACTCACCGCAACCACCAAAGTCCCGTATGTAACAAACCCCTTGGTACCATCTAACCACTATCTGGTTGTACCAACCACAGTCTGTCTGTCCAAAACCAAGCAAAGGCTCCTCAACGTCATGTCCACTTTTAGATCTTACAATGGTTCCCTAAACTGTGTGACACATACTGTTATAAGAGTCATAAATCAGTAAAACAATAATTTGGTCTCTAGTTGATTTTTTAAAGACTATGTCCACAAAACCCAAGCCCAGGACTTGGAGTATACAGTCTGTAAGCTCTTACCACACACAGAGATGTTGCAGTACTCCCACGGTGTTTTGGGATCCATGGTGTAGCACCAGGGACGGAGGCGATTATCTGGGTTACGACAGTAGTTGTCCTTTAAATCTTTGTGCCGATACCTGAGAGAGGAGATGGAGACAATGCGGGGAGGAAAGAGCAGATTCAGAGGGAGAGACGTAAGTCATAACAACTGGTGAGGTCTACCTCTCCTGGGTATTAGCGTCAGTTATTTAAGCATCTGTCATGGGTGTGTACAGCAATGTCCATGAGAAAGGTTCCTGTGTGATTATCAGCTTTGCTGCTTACTTTTTGGGTTGAAAACGGTGTTTGTGAGGCCTTGGTGAATCCCATCTTTGGCACTCTTTGCCACTCTCTGTATGGTCCATTTTGCCCCGATAATCTTCCCCATTACATGTCATACAGATTTCTGTAAACAGAGAAAACATCATTCATCAAAACTTCTGGATCTGTTTTTTTTTTGGCCATATCCTATTGTCTGGTGATGTCATTTGCCTTACCCTCCGAACACTGTGGTATGCCACACTCCTCTGCTCGTACGTTGGGGTCTGTGGTGTAACACCACGGACCACCGGGGTCGTTGTTGGGATTCCGACAGAAGTTCTCCCTCAGGTCTTGCGTTGGGTACCTATCAGGATAAAACCTACAGCGGAGTAGACACACATTATTGAAAGTGTTAACTGATACTGTAAGCTGTGTAAATAAATGTTAGGGAGTACTTGCACACTTGGCTGCTCTAGTGATATATACAGTACCATACCTGCCTGCTCGTGCTCTCAGTAACAAGCCAAATAAATTCAAGAGGCATTTACATTAAAGGGGCAGTTCACCACAAAATCCAAAATACATATTTTCCCTCTTATCTGTAGAGCTATTCATCAGTTTAGATTGTTCTAATGTGAGTTGCAGAGTGGTGGAGATATCGGCTGTAGAGGTGTCTGCCTTTTCTCTTATATAATAGAACTAGATGGTACTGAACATTTGAAAAACTCAACAGCAATGTCTCTTTCTAGAGATCATGACCCAAGTACTCAAGATAATCCACACCTACTTGTAATGAGCAGTTTCATGTCAGAACTATTTTCTTTGTATGAAACTTCACCCGCCAAACTAATCACAGCACAGAAGGAAGCGTGAATAAACTGCTAGCTCACCTAGCACCACTGAACTAACTAATATTACCACTCAGCTGAGGAGAACGTCATTAGTGTTATCATCTCTTGCTGCCACTAGCACAAGCCTACTACCATGAGCAGATGCACGCTTCCTTCTGCCCAGTGATACTGTTGTACAGGAACAGTAAGTATTTTCTTTTTATTAAACTACAGCACCCAACCGTATCAGCATGCAGAAGGAAGCATGCATCTACTGCTAGCTTACCTAGCACCAGTGAGCTAGCTAACAATACAGCTCAGCTGAGAAGGACACCATTGTTCACGTCTCATGCTGCCACTAGCATTAGCCTTTTATCCTTTAGCCTTTTATAAGTAGATGCAAACTTCCTTCTGCACGGTACAATGATTGTACAGGAACCATATCACCGTATGGAATTATTTTCTTTCTACCTAACTACACCGGCCAACCGTATCACCAAGCAGAGGGAAGCGTGCATCTACTCATGGGCAAGAGGCTCATGCTCATGACAGTACTAGATGTAAATATTAATGCCGTCATCTTCGGCTGTGCTGTGATGTTAGCTAGCTAGGGGTGCTAGAGGTAGCAGAAGATACATGTTTCCTTTTGCGGATGATAGAGTGGGTGTGTGTAGAAAGAAAATAGTTCCTACATGAAACTGCTCACAACAAGGTCTGTGGATTATCTTAAGTAACCAGATCATGATTTTGGGAAAGAGACATTGCTGTTGAGTTTTCCAAATGTATTTTTTTGCGCTTTGAGCACAAGACGAGTGCCATCTAGTTCCATCATGTTCAAGAGAAGGCAGACATCTCTACAGCTGATATCTCCAGCACTCAGCAACTCACACCAGAACAACCTAGATTGCTAAAAAGCACTACAGGTAAGTATTTTTTCATTTGGGGGTTAACTGTCCCTTTAAGATATATGCTTAATTCAGAGAAATGCTAGTGCCTTCAGTGTGACCAGGTTACATTTTAAGCCTTGAAATGATCAGTTACATTAGTCTCATGCAAATATGGTCATCAAAACCCTTCTTCTCTTCAGGTTTGCACCTTTTGCATGATTGCCTCAACGATTCCTACCATATCCTCGCTTCCTCATGTGTGAAGCAGCCAGACTCTGTCACAGCACAGTAACCACCAACAGCACAGAACAATGCAATGAACCACTTGAAGCAGATCAGGCAGGTCTTTTGCTGGCAGCCTTTGAACACGTTTAAACCTAATCCCTCTCTGTCATCGGCTACCTCACGTCAGCGTGAACAAGCGACTGTTAAGAAGACTGTAAGAAAAAACGGCTAGTCCAAACATATGGGATGTAACAATGAGGAATGGCATGGGACCCCCGTGTTAAATGAACAGTGTGTGAAATTCGTCTTCTGTCAGGTCAGGATGATGAAAAGCTGGTATGTCAGCACCCCCTGATCCACGCCGACCACACTCTCCCTCCCACAAAGGGAGACAGAGAGGGCAGACAGGAGGGTTGTGGGCTTAGAAGAGAGGTGAAAAGAAACAAGTGAAGTGACTGACTTAAGTGCTTTAACAAGAAAAAAGTGAGCATTACAGAGTGAGCAAAAAAGGCGAGTGTTTAATTGATGATGTAAAAAGAAACAACATGTGCAGAGAAAGAAAAAAGAAAAAGAAAAAGGAACCAGTTCACCCTCCCTTCAGCAGCTTGTCTGAACACACTACCCCAGACAATGACTCTTTTCTTGGGGGAGTCTGCTTGGCTCTCCCCTCCGTGCCCTGGGGCTTATGCAAGGCTTCTACGCTAATGCACAACATCATTCAATCCAGAAGTACAGTAGAAGAAATCTCAGGCATCAAATTCAGCAAAAAAATAGAGAAAGAAGGAGAAAGTCCTGAGCTACAGAACCCAGTCCCAAAAAACTCTAACAGGGTTAAGTCTAACAGCAACATTTCATTTACCCATGTAACTGCAACAAAACACTTGTTCCCCTTCGCTGCAATAGTCTGCCAAGTGCCAAAACTCACATCTGTTGTGTGTAACTCACAAGCTCAATATATTACTATCATAATACAGTATCCTTAATTTATAAATGGAATTACAAGGTCCCTCACTGAACAGAAAAAAAAAAGGTTGCATCTGGTGAGAGTCCGTAAAAGGCCGCTGCATGGGAGCAAGTTAGCCATAATGATGTTGCACTAACAGATGTTGGCCAGTTATTCATCTCCTTGCCAAAGTCTGTTCCCATCGGAGTGCAGACACACATGCTTCGCTCTCAGGGCCGGCTAAACATATTGGCTGGATTTTTGTACATCACTAAAGATGAAATCTAGACCTGAAGTAACTGCTGCAAAATGTCTAGTAACATGCACCTGGAACAAAGACAGTCATGCTTCAAGGCTACAGCATCCAAAAGGAATAAAGAATTGGAAGATCAGGGCAAGCTAGTAAGGACATTATGAATCTTAAGACATGAATAATGATTTTTGGAAGCAGGACATCTGAAAACTGCTCAAGTGTCCTGAAATGAATTGTATAATTTTGGCATTAATTCACTTTCATGAGAAGTTCAATAGCACTCTCATGTTTGTCTGTTAAAGGGACAGTTCACCCCAAATCAAGGGATATTTTTTTTCTTCTTACCTGAGGTGCTATGTATCCATCTAGATTGTTCTGGTGTGAGTTGCAGAGTGTTGTAGATATCAGGCACACTCCTCATAGCGCCAAAAGATACAGCGCAGACGTAAGCTTGCATCTACTGTTAGCTCATCTAGCACGATTGAGCTAGCTAACATTACAGCCTTTAATGTTTACATCCTTTGCTGTCACAAGCCTCTTGTCCATGAGTAGATGCACGCTTCCTTCTGTGTGGTGGGGTGGTTGGCAAGTGTAGTTCAGTAGAAAGAAAATAGTTTGTACATCAAACTGTACTGTAATGACACATCACTGTTGAGTTTTTCAAACGTATATTTTTGACGCCGAGGGCACCACAGGCCAAGTGCCACCTAGTTTCATTATATTCCAGAGAAGGCAGACATCTATACGGCTGATATCTCCAACATTCGGCAACTCACATCAAAACAATCTAGACTGACAAACAGCACTACAAGTAAGAGGGAAAATATGTATTTTGATTTGGGGGTGAACTGTCTCTTTAATTATAAAGCTACAGCCAAAGAGACATTTAGCTTAGCTTGGCTTAGCTTAGTTCAGTGTAAAGACTGCCATTCAACAAGCCATGCTATCTGTTTCCCCCTATTTCCAGTGTTTCTGCTAAGCTAAGCTAAGCTAAGCTAACTGGTTGGTGCTAGCTTCATATTTACAGTACAAACAGGAGTGAGTCATCTAATGAGCCATGCTAGCTGTTTCCACCTGTTTCCATCTCTTTCTGCCAAGCTAAGCTAAGCTAAGCTAAGCTAACTGGCTGTTGGTGTTAGCTTCATATTTACAGTACAAACATGAGTGAGGCATCTAACGAGCCATGTAAGCTGTTTCCCCTTATTTCCAGTCTTTCTGCTAACCTAAGCTAAGCGGAGCTAAACTAAGCAAACTGGCTGTTGGTACTAGCTTCATAGACATAAGACAGACATGAGAAAGATATCCATCTTCTCCATCTTCTCCTCTAACTCTTTGCAAGAAGCTGCATGTTTCTGTGGTTGCGTGTGCATTCTGATCTCCCAGTATGAATGTGTAGAAAAATAAAAGTCCCTAAGGGAATAAATAAATGATTGCAATGTAATCTATTATTATTAATATGAACAGAAATTTTCCATTCTCCATGCTCGGCTGGGCATCAGCACACACTTCTTTCAGGGCCTTGGTTCAGAAACTAAATATAGACAACAGGTGGAAGTCCCATTCCTGGAAGGGAACCTCCTGAGAAATCACCCTTGCCCCACGGCGATCGGTCAAGCATGAAAATAATAGTTACCTGAAGCTCAAATGGTGCGCGGTTCATTATGGTGGTAATTCTCACACAGCGGGACAGTCCCATGTTAGGTAACCCCACAGTGGCACTAAATCTCCCTTAAGTAAAGCTCCCTTTGACCCCTTTGAAAGTTTAAAGTTGCTGACAAGCCGGGGCGATGTTACATTTGCCATCTGGGACGAGGACGGGAATCGTGTGTCAAATAAACAATGACAAAGGATTGCTAATGTAAAGAGCTGCTCCTGGAAAGGGAGGGGAGGAGGAAAAGAGAGGAGAGGACTGAAACACTGCTGTGCTTTAATTGCGGAGGATCATTGAACCTTTATTTTCTCTCGGTACGTCTGTGGCTTTGTGAGCTCAGCTGGACAACAGACAAAACATGACTTCAGTCCATAAATTTCTGCGCTTTCTTCCTTTCATTCTACCTCCCCTCTGTCTATTCTTCACCCTGCACTTCTTTAAACTCTTATTACTCTGTCTCTCAAGCCCCCCTCCCTGCTGCAGTTAAAATATCTTGTAACTAACGAGCCCCACTAATGAGATGCTGGCACAGAACCATTGTCACAAATTCACTGCTGCGTAGCCGGGAGAAAACATCGTTGGGATACACCTGATGGCCTCCAGTGCAGCAGAAAAACAACCTCGTCTGAGATGACATCCCTGCATGTGTTGAAAGAAATCTGACTTATTTCTGGCTAAACATTCCCTCCGCCTTCCCTTAACCCCCGAGGTGCAAGGGGGATGATGTGAGCATCTATAAATCAGCTGCTAAGGCCTGTTCAATATCAGACACGGAGAAATACAGAGGGAGCATCCAGGAAGGTGGCGGAAGCCTAAAGATTAGAGAAACAGACTTTGAAGGCTGCTGGTTCGAATCTAGCAAGAGGAAGTGAATGATTAACACCTTCCAGTCCTTAAAAAGTGTCATCAAGCAAGGCACAGCACCCTTAAGGTAACATGTAAATGTTTGTAGCTATTCCTCGTCTCATAAACAACCCCAGTTCCAATGAAAATGTAATTTCTTGCTTAAAAAAAGAGACGACTTACGTGTGTTCATTGATGTTATTATCTGACCAAGCTTGGCAAGTGATGTTTGACTTCGTCCAAGACCTCCTCCCTCTGTAGTTGTCCTTGGTGCCGATGATACACTCCCTTATATAATCTAAGCGAGGGAAAAGGCATAAGAAGCATTTAAAAACATCCATTCATGTTCTCACTTCTACAGGCTGCCTCTGTGTACTCTTTGTGTGCCAATTTATACACCGTTTAGTCAATTAAATGTTGATATGTGTCCACCGCCTTGACCACCTGGGCTATATTTTCCCATGTATGGTCAATAAGACTTTTTTACGGCGTGTGTTTTAGTATGTCCCGGCTTGTGTGTTATTCCCAAAGCAGACAACTCCCTGAAGTTCATTAAATGTCACCGGGGGGGGAGTTTCCGTAAATTCTGCCTTAACTTCTAAAGTGCTAGATTCCACAGCCTGCGCTGGAGAAAGCCTTTGCGCTCCAGATTGTAAACAATGTTTTTTTTTTTTTTTGTTTACACTCCACTTAAGTCTGCTACATGTTTATGCATGCAACTCTCACCACAGGAGTGATTAAACAGCAGGGGGGGGTTGAGGTTGTTTTTATTGTGTCAACAGAAAAACCAAAGACCTTTAAAGGCGTGGAGCCGACGCAAGGAGCACAACCTGCAATCACCGCCAAACAATTTGCCCGTGTAAATCCCTGTCTGCACCTGAATGTTCTCATGAGAAAAACTCATTCCTAATAATGACACTAACCTTTTTTTTCATACAAAGTAAAGTTGACATTGGCCTGCTTCTGCACACCGTGGGTGAAGCGGTCAAAGGGAAGCAAGTGGCATTTCCTGTTGTGCCGTTGGAAGTTGAAAGCCCTGCAGAAACACACGGGAAGTCGTTGAGAGATGAACAAACGATAAACAACAAAAATATGTAAATACTGTGTCAACATAGGAGGAGAGGAGGAGCGAGAGGGGAAAGCTGCCATGTTCCAGGGAAGCACAGAGAGAAAAGTGGAAATCACCTGCAGTTGAAGTTTTTCTTGACCTTCTTGCACTTGCGGGCGCAGTGTTCCTGCGATCGGCTGTTTCGTACCAACGGGGGCTGAGGGCAGTCTGTGCAAACCAGTATGTGACTCTCAGTCTTCTCATACTTCTGTAACAACTGATGAGTCCTTCTACAAAAACCTGCAAGACCACAAGGACACAACATGTTATCTGCATGTTTGGGTGCAGCCATTAGATTCAAGTGGGCCTGTCAATGTCAGGTTCATCTCGTATGGGACTTACTGTCTGTTTCTGACTTGTGAAAACCATTCACATAAAAATCCTAGTTGTAAGTATAACTGGGAAACATACAAGGGAACAGGCCAACAAATCTGAAGAATCACTGTAATCAAACCCAAATTTTAGGGACATAGTGCTACACTGTCAAGGGACAATATCTTTAACACTTTACATGACGAACTTTCCAATGTCCAATGTCCTCAAACAAGTACTTCCTAATTAACAGTGTCTTATCTTGTTACTGTTGCGAAAACTGGTCAAATTTGTTGCCATATCGAACTACAAACATTATTAATCATAAATAAACAAGTTTCAACCATAAAACGTGATCAGGTTTTGGACCTTGTCCACTTTTGTGTTGGGATTGGCTGCAGACTGACTTGGCAGAGATGGCTGCCAAGTTGTTTATACATTAGTGTATTGTGGTCTCACTACCACTAGATGACACAAAAAAAAAGTGTCCACGAACGAGGACAACAGGTCGAAGTCAGGTAGAATTAGTATAAGGTCAAGTAAACCCAAAATGTGATGTCCTCACATGACGACACAGGGTCTCAGGAGGATATAATGGAGCAAGTTTACAATCAGCTTGTGGTGCTCAAAGCACCAAAAAATACATCTGAAAAACTAAACAGCAATGTCTCTTTCCAGAAATCATAACCTGATTACTCAAGATAATCCACAGACCTTGTTGTGAGCAATTTTATGTAGGAACTATTTTCTTTCTACCAAACTACACCCACCAACTGTATCACCACACACAAGGAAGCGTGCATCTACTCATGGACGAGAGGCTCATGCTTTCGACAGCACAAGATGTAAAAATGAATAGTCCTCCTCGGCCGAGCTGTAACAGTTAGCTAGCTCAGTGGTGCTAGGTGAGCTAGCAGTAGATGCACGCTTCCTTCTACGCACAGATATGTTTGGCAGTGTAGTTTGGTAGAACAGTCCCAACATGAAACTGCTCACAACGAGGTCTGTGGATTATCTTGAGTAATCAGGTTATGATTTCTGGAAAGATTCATTGCTGTTGAGTTTTTTAAATGTATTTTTTGGCACTTCGAGCACCACAAGCCGAGTGTTATCTAGTTCCATTATACTGGAGAGAAGGCAGACATCTCTATGGCTGATATCAATTCAAACCAAAACAATCAAGACTGATAGATAGCACTATGGGTAGGAGGAAAAACACGTAGTTTTGATTTTGGGATGAGCCCTTTTAACATTGTTTTTTCCCCATCTCTACCATTCATACCATATGGCGTGAATGCTGCATAATTGCTGCTGCAAGCTCTGTGAGCACTGCTTGTTTGACAGTGATGATAGCAATGCTCTCTAAAGCCACCGGTATTTAAGTTTTCCATCTAGATCAGTGGTTCCCAACTGGTCCAGCCACAGGGTCCAGATTTCTCCTTAGTTCAAGGTCCACACAGTTTAATGTATTCAGCATCATACTTGCATTTGGCCATGTCGTCTGGCTAGTTTGCTGTCTCTGTTAAGTAGCTGTCCATTAGTCACTGACTCTACAGCAGGAAATAACACTTCAAAATAAAAGCTTTGTGCCAGAAATTCACTGTACTTAAAAAAGTGTGTTTTTTTAAAAATTTGACATGTTCGTGGGTCACTTGCGCTTCATTCAGAATTGACCCGTGACCTACTTTTGGGCCGCGACCACTTCCCTAGAGGACAGTTTTGAATTATCATCTGCTTCCATTATGCCTTATATTTTCTAATTGATCTGCCCAGGGTTGCTTGATTACTAACCTTGCAGTTCACTTCCTTTCCCCATCAAATATTACTTTATATTTAATGGCATGTGGTTCAGAATAACGATAAAAAACAAACCAGGTTGGGGACTTCTTGGCAGCCAGGTGGCCGCCGTTTTTGCATGTTGCGCTCCCCTCTCTGTCTTCCCTCGTTTCCTGTCTTTATCTACACTGTCAGTTATCAAGTGAAGGCAAAAAGAAAAAAAATCTAAGGACCCATGTGGTATTTATTTGGCTCCCCTTCATTGACAAAGCATCAAACATAACAAATACTGGAAGACACGGCCAAACATTTCACTGCTGCTGTCAAGGCGCTGGGATGGAGAGGAACTTGTCAGAATGAGATTATTTTATGGAGTTTCCTCCTGGTGGTTTGCGTATAAGAACAACAGGAGGCTGGTTTTAGGGTCTTGGCATGGAGGTATGGCAGAGCAAAGATGAAATTATTTTCCTGTTATGTATTTAACTGCGTGGCTAGCTGTCTGTGAAACCATCATTCAGTTACAGCTTGTTTATGACCTCATGCTTGTTGGCATATTAGCATCCAGAGTCGCAATGAAAGATCCTGCTATTCCCGAACCCCTGAAAACTCTGCTGTTCTGCTGCTCTTGATAAAAACCTTGCTTCAGATTTGGCTTCGGCCGTGCTGTTCAAACCGAGGTAGCGGACTAGTTTATGTGTCAGAAAATTAAGTATGAAGTGCTCCCCAGAAATGCTCCCCAGCTCCTCCTGCTTCAAACCAAGGTAGCTGCCCGAGAAATACAGAGTGGGTGCTGAACTGTGAAGACAGCCAAGAGAACAGAATGATGTCCATCCAACAGGCTGATGTGCTCCAGTGCCTCAGTTGGAGATCTGATGCTCATGAAAGCATATTTCACATTTTACTGCTTTCAGAAAGAACCACAAATCCATTTTTTCCATCACTTTGTACTGCTTCAGGGTATTTGTAATGCCACAGTTTTATGTTTTTGTAGATGCATTTAAGGAGTATCTGTGATTCCTCCAAAATTCCTACAATGCGGGACTTCTTAACAGTCCTGAAAGTCTTATTAGAGCTCCTGCAGTTTCAAGGAATACTTCACCTCCTAAATGATTACTTGTTTATAAATTACTCACCCAGTGTTACCCTGAATTCGGGAGGGAAACATTGTTTTTCTCCAATGTCTCCACAGTGAACGAAAAATCCAAATACAGAAAATTCTTCATATGACTAGAGTAAAAGGGGTCTGCGTGCAACAGCAAAGCTGTATCAAAACATCCATTTACAAACTCACAGACAACTCGTGCAGTATAATCCAAGTCTCATTTATCCTGTCGCATGCTCAGATGTCAGTTCAGTTAGGAATACATTAGTCAAAGAGAACTTTTTTCCATTTGCAGTATAATATTTGGCTGTATGGCTCTGTTCTGGGGCCTCTCTGTCTTTCCTCGGGCCTCCTCAAAAAGCCTCTTCCATGCACCTACATGGAAATCCTTAAAGTGGAGAGAGCACACCTCTCTGCCCTTCCACTTGCAAAAGAAGAAAACCTGAGGCAGAGAGAGCAAACCTCCCTGCCCTTCCATGTGCCTACATGCAAAGCCTATGGGAGGAAGAGCAGCAGCAAAGACCCCCCAGGAACAGAACAGAGCAGCATCAATGACAAACAGAAATGACACTGATAAGTCAGACACAGCATGAAAAGGAGGAGCTGGGGTGGAGGCGGGTTGCAAAGCAGCTTGCAGAGGAAGCAGCAACAGTAGGCAGGCCAGAGCAGTTTAAATAGGGCACCCTGAATGAGATTCACCAACTGGTTGCTTAGAAAGGAAAAGTGATCTATCAGCTGACTCTCTTTCATCAATCTGCTGCTCCATCAGTTGATTGGGCTGTTTGAGATCAGCTGATGTAGCTGGGATGTGAGCTGAGCTTGACATCGTGTCCTGCCTGAACTAAAGCTATGCTCAATTTTTAGTTAACTTGGGTTATACTGCACGAGTTGTTTAAATAGATGTTTTGATATAATTTTGCTATTGTTAAATGCGGCCCACCATGACTTCGATTTTTGGACACACTGGTTCACTGGGGACATGCAGGAAAAATAAAGTTTCTTTCCAAATTTAACGTAACACTGGGTGAGTAACTGATATACAGATGGTCATTTAGTGGGATGAGGTGACATTTTGTCTATTCCCCTTCATTTTGAGCAACAGGGAGGGCATTTATTTTTAGGGAACAAAACAAGAAGCAGTCGGAAGTTCCTTTTTACAGATAAGCTTTGATGTCCCTCATCATTTCTATTTCTAACTCATGAAGTTTTATGTGTAAGTTCATGTACAGTCTCATAGTTATTGGCATCCAGCACATACTAGAAAACAAAGTATGCGGAAAAATGGAAAAGGTTGGGAAAAGGATACATTATTTTATTTATGGGCCTTTGTTGAAAGCTGTTTCTTTGGGAGAAGCACATCAAAAGAGAATTCTATCACTGCAAAGACATAGCATAATGTATATGAGATCCAAGTGGGTTCAAAAGCAGGACAAAACCATATTTTAAGTCCAAATCCTCTGTGATGCAAATCATTCATTCCTACCTACTGGAAAAAGTTGAGAGCCCATCCTTCAGCGGTGCGGAGCTCAACTGTAAACACTAATTTCGGACGGCTACGGCAACATCTTTAAATGTGTTTAGTTACAATAGTTTTCCGTTTATAATTAGGGGCAAGTGTGATATAAATCACACAGGAAAATCTCAAGCTACCGAGTTACAGCCACACACCCCCGTGCCAAGAGCCGACACAAGACGTTGTGTGTGTACTTAGGATATTGTAAACTGTGGAGCGTTTAGAGGCTCCTCATGGTCGAAAATGGTTTTTGGGGAGGACTTGTTATTAATGTTTGGGCTCCTCTGGACCACATCTGGCACTCATCACTGTGTTGTTCCAGCCCTGATGTCTGGCCAGGCTGCTCAATTAGATTTCACTTAGTCTCTTCCTCTCCTTGCAGTCGGACTCCTGCTATCTCCAAATCCCGAGCATTTGCCAAAGCTGGAGATTATACTAAAACGTGCTCGATGGCCCAGTGCGAAAGAGGTGAGGTTTAATGAGAGGAGGCAGCTATAGCTTACAGGAACAAGTCCGAGTCCCTTGTTTAGCTTGAAAAATGTAGATAGGAGAGGTGAACGACCGACACTCTGACCTTCCTCTGCAACTTCCACTGAGATGCCCTTGAGCAAAGAACCTCAATGTCAGCTGGATAAGCTTTTTAGGCATGCTTTCCTAGAATACAAGCTGTCAGAAAATGTACATTTAAAGGAAGTGTTGAGGAAAAAGTGTATAACATGAACAACAGGAAAGTAGCAGGTTAAAGGTGTGCCTCTGTCTGGGAATTAAGCAGACATTACATCTGCTTCAGAGAGCGCAAAATGTGGAGCCAGATGTTGCTCCCCTCCCCACAGCTCTCTCTTCCCCTCTCACACACACACACACACACGCACGCACGCATGCACACACGCACACACACACACACACACACACACACACACACACACACACACACACACACACGCACACACACACACCCCTTTTCTATCTCTCTACCGGGACAATGCGCGAATACCGCAGCGCAGAGCGCGCGTTTTACTTTCCCCAAACCCAGGGCGGTCAGAGGTCAGGGTCGGCACCCTTTGGAGGTGGTAACTATGGATTCAGTGCTTTGCTCGGTGACATGTCAGCGGGGCGGATGTAAGCTGAGACGGCCGAGATAATCCGCGCGTCATGAGAAGGAGCGGCGCGGAGCTCCGTTTGGAGGCGTTTAACTGACGGTTGGTCGTGTGCGCGCCCTGCGCTGCAACACCACACGCAGACATGCATCCTTTTAATACCTGGCGTCACTAAGATGCAGGAGTGCCTGTTGGTGAAATGACAGGATTCATATCAAAAAGTACATCAGCACATGCACTTCAAAACCCAGTACTGGGATCAATTAGTTCCTTAGAAGGAAGAGCAGTTTAATGACCTCAATTATTTCATTCAAAGTTTCTTTTGGACAAAACGGTTATTGAGTGATTGGAATCTGACTCTCCTTGATCTTCCCAGAAAATAGCCTTAAGTGTGTTCTCTCTGTTCCTTAATAAATTACAGTTGCTCATCAGACACCCTGAGCCGCAGCAACAGTGCAAGACAGGACTTGTGATCAAGTTTACGCAGATCCAACCATGTCATAATATCTAATTAAATCATTTGCGTGCACAAAACAACATGCACTGCTTAAAGGTCAAGTCATGACTAGTACTTTTTTAAATGATGAGAAGTTGTAGAGTGTTTTTTTCTGTGCCAACTTTTCTAACTTCATTTTAAGTTGTTTGTCACCCTCAAGTAGCAGCTCCTCATGTCTTACCTGTGTCCAGTACAGTGACCACAACACACACCACAGCTTGGTAAATCCACACGTTTGTCCTCATGGTTAGGAAGTTTGGAGGCAGGTTAGAAAATCCGGATGAATTGAGCAGTCAGACTCAGGCGGTGGTTTGTATGAAGTCCAGAGAGGCTGATGATGGCCAGCAGAAGACTTGCCTTCCTCGCACAAGATGCCACTTTTCCAAGAAACCACACGTCCTCGGTTCAACCCCCTTTTCACTTGGGTTTGTGCTCCTCTCTGTCAGCGACTCTCCTCACCACTGTCAAGTCCTGGGGAATAAATAGGGCAACTTCCGGTTGCTATTTTCAAAGTAAAATCGGATGTGACTCACAAGCCAAACGTTCTGCATGTCTGCTGATGTTTAATTTTTTTCATATTGTCATGAAATCCCCCAAAAAGGAAACTAACAATGAAAAAAAAAATCCTGCTAACTAATACAGCGAAGCCAGATGCTGGTCTAGTTTAATCACTCTAAAAAAGGATTCATGGGGTTGTTGGTTATGCTTAAAATAAGGAAGTTTTTCAGAATA